GCCTAGACCTTTAATGTTTATTGGACAATTTGACATGCTGGATCACCATAAAGAAAGTGGACATTTTTAAACATTAATAAATGTGCTATTAGCAGTCCTTGTAGTTGACATCTTCAAAATAGTCGGTTATACTGAGCCGAAAAACGTGTAATTTCATGAACTAGGACTGCACATTCGTCATGCATGAACAATAAGAGGGAGAATAATCGACAACTTAAGGAGTCTTGAACTGCTCATTATTGAAATGGTCAGCTAATAATGGCTGGTTTTAGTATAAAAAGCTCATAGCAGCACTCTGGCAATGCTTTTTCTCACCAGAAATACTTATCTGCAAATCAGAAGAACATATCAATCAGAAACAAAACAAGCAAATCGACAATGGGAAAAGGCGGAAAAGGCTCAAGCGGAGGGGGACACTCGGCAGGATATCCAAGCACCACTGGAAATCCCTCTGGTGGTGGGAGAGATAACGGACCTCGAAGCGGCAAGTAAGTCTGCGTGTTTATTGCAGATAAACGCTGATTTTGGTTTCAGTGTATGTGTATAGCAATGAAATATTCGAAGAAATCATGGTTTATTGTACAGTTACTTCAGTTACCGGCTTGGTTTTTCAATTGGCCACAAGAACGTGTTCGTGTCTGGAACTATGTCGAAATCATACCTTGGTTCGGACCATTCCAATGTAGAGATACCTTGCAAAACTACGACCGATTGTTTGAGCAAACGCCAAATAATTTAGCACAAAGGAAACAAATGTTTGTTGTACAAAGGGAACTTTTCGGTGCATCACTTGACGGATCTTTGCTGAATATTCAAAAATGGACGCATGCTGGCTACTTGCAAGTATTTGAAAGCTCGATTTGAGGAAAACAGGAAACTATAAAATAGTGCTCTGTTTTGTGTAGGCCGCTCTACATCGTGTAGCCGGAAACATACAAGCATGCATCAATTGCCAGAGTCAGCTGTATGTGTGGTCTGCAATAGAAAACTTTTGCGCTCGTGTCTAGTGCATGAGAAGGAGTTCCAGATCTGACATTTGTCGTCCGGCCTAGTGGTTTTTCTGGAGTGGGCCGGTGTATGAATGACCACCAAGAGGTATTACAACATACCCATATTAAAGCTTTTAAAAAACAATGATGTTAGACTTATAAAACAAATGACGCTTGTCAAATTGAAGTATTAGCATCACATGGATATTATAAATTAGGTATAGTGTGTTTAATCCTTAATTGCAGTCCATTTAAATGACTAACTATATCAATTAATATTATAAATCGTAGATATATAAAAAGATACCATACCATACCCACGGGTACAATTAACATAAATTTGCTAAATATATCATAAATTCCAACTATAGATATATTTTTATGATATTAGTTTCTATATCCTGTTAACCTAATATTTAAAGTCACCGTTCGGGTTGGAGTTGCTTTAGGTATGATTTTATATTCGAATCAATAGAGCGTCCTGTATGACTATTATCATCATGAATTATATAAATCACACTTATATAATTATTAATCTTTCACATGTGATCCTAACACATACCTATTAGGATATCTCTTTTTTGTTTCTTCGAGAGGATTTATATTGCATTCTATAAGTGACCTTATTCTAGTATAATATACTCAATATCATTTACCTATAGCTCTTTTACCACCAAATGAGTATTTGGTGGTCTAATGGCCCGCCTGCGTTGGCCCAATACACAATAATTATCTAGCTCTGATTTGCACCGTCGGATTCTGAGTGTACTTATTGCGATACATCAAAGGATATTACACTTATCCTATGAGAGTAGTTTTTAAAAAACTCAAAGTATTTTCCCAATAATACGCCCTCTCCTTGTGTTTGATTAAGTCTTTCTTCAAATACAGTTTTCCTGTTGTGTTTCTATGTATCATCCTTCCCAATTCATTGGTCCCAAAGACCTAGCCGTAGCCTAATCCTTTTCATGATTCACGTTCGCTAAACTCAATTACCAAAGCTCCAGCCTGTTTCTCATGGGGTGGTGCCCCTGGCGAAGCGATCAGGCAGATGGCTATTCTGGCCCCGCCCAGCTTCGATGTCTGCTAGTAGCTATGTCTACGCATCCATTGTGGTGGAAAGCGTCTTTGAAACAGAGGCTGAAAACGACGCACCCCTCGTGGGCTTCAGCCATCAGCGCCGTTTTCGTCGAGCCCATCCACTACCATGCCAGCCGAACGAGTAGCCGCGCATTTCCAGAAGTGATGGGTAACTATAGCCGCACACAATATACATTCGTCTGCCATGCCCATCCAGAGGCGGGCCCCAGACGAGGCTTTCCGGCCCACAGACAAACAAAATCTTCCAGCCCACAACAAATCAGCAAATAGTAAATTGTCTATACTCTATAAATCCACTACGTAAGTCTGATCCCAAAACCGGCACGTTAGACGGCACAGTAGCCACCGTCCACCTGGATGTCCGTACCCGTGGTGAAAGAAGCCAAGTCAGAGGCCAAGTACATGTAGGCACCGACCAACTCCTCGGGCTGGGCCTCTCTGCCCAAAGGCGTCAAGCCCCACCACTTGGCACGCTGCTCGGTAGGAACAAAGTCAGACAAGCCGCTGTCCGTGTAACCTGGCGACACGGTGTTGACACGGGCAAAGCCGGCAAACTCGACAGCCAAGGACTTACCCATGTGCACGACGGCGGCCTTGGACGCGTTGTAGCCGGTCTGGTAGTTTGGCACGTTGACAATGTGGCCGGAAATGGACGCGGTCATGATGAGCGAGCCCTTGCCCTTTCTCTTGAAAACCTCACCGACGCTCTTGGCGCAGTTGAACACACCGTGGACGTTGACGTTGAAGACACGGGCCCACTCTTCGTAGGTGCTGGCCTCGTTCAAGATGGAGCCGGTGGTCCATACAACACCTGCGTTGGCAATGAAGGTGTCGATGGTGCCGAAGTCGGCCTCGATGTCCTGCACGGTCTTCTGCACCTGGCCGGCGTTGGTCACGTCGACGGTGTACGACTGGACCTTAACTCCGTACTTCTCGGACAAGGTCTTGTCGATGGTAGGGTTGTATCTGAAGTCCATGATGGCAACATGAGAACCGGCAGAGGCAAAGGCGTCGGCAAGCGCACCGCCAATGGAGCCGGCGGCACCGGTGATGACGGTGACCTTACCGGCCATGCTGAATCTCTCGAAGGCAGTGCCAGTAAGAGTTGGAGCAGGGAAAGGCACTGGGGCCTCGTCTTGCTGGGGCTTGATGATGGTGGTGTATTGGTTGTCGGAGGCAGTCATTGTGTGTGTGGTACAAGAAGATATGGAAGTAGCTTGGAAGAGTTAAACGGATCGATGAAGAATTTTCAGCCAATTTATATACTTGGTGCTACCCCATAAATGCGATGCGCGTAACCGTCCGAGAAACGCTCCGGCGGAAAAACGTTACGAGCGCGCGGACGGGCGAAAAAAAGAAACGACGCCGGGCGTGGTCCAGGAGCCGGGAAAAAGAAAGGCATGCTTATGTTTCCGTGGCCCAAGGGCGGCGGCGGAAACCCGGGGCAATTTGCGGGGCCACCAGGACCCTTCTTGCGGAGCGCATTGCTTTTTGTTCTTGTGTTTTTTTTTGTTCTGCCTGTTCATTTGTGGTTCTTACTCCCGCCCCTTTTGTTGGGCGGGCCGTCCACGTGTGACAGCCACGCATGGTGCGCAGAAAGCGGCAAGATCATCCCAAACAATCCGAGGCGCTCGAACTCCTCTCTTCCGCCAACTGCGCGGATTCTCTCTTGATTTTTTTTCTGTTCGTTCTCCGATCTTTGGGCCGGTTTAGCCGGAAGTCGAGACTATGTCAGGTACTATGACGATGACAAGCATGGCCACATGTCGTAATGCTGATTTCAGCCGCTATGCGCAGCGCATGCCTCATCAAGATCTGCCTCTGACGTTCTGAGCCAATCAAAGTATCTGATCTCCTGCGTGGCGCACGTACTCCTCGGATCTCATGCACTCGAGGCCAATAGTTGAGTGGTCTGCAGAATATATAGCGGACGTCACGTGCGCGTCATCCATATCTCCAGCAGACGGTGACATGTCATCATCACGCTTAGTACTCCATTCTCGCAAATCGCTTTTCCATGCCGCTTACGTCATAGTGCCTATACGGCTATCCCGAAAGGCCCGCTACTACCAACACCCTACATCCTGGTTTACTTCGTGGTGTTTGAAGCACCCAAACATCGCATCAAATGAGGTCTTCGTATAGGGCACGTAAATAGATTGTTTGTCGTAAACACCTCAACCTTAATTTAGCGAAGGCAAGAGTTCCGAGGGCTGACCATTTTCGGGCCCAAAACAATCCACGCATGCAGGTCCGCAGCATGCCGGCAAGACTTATTCGTGAGACGCCAGATTGGGTATGAGCCTCACACAGCATTTCTTTTCTAAGTTCCCGTGCTTGGCGGGATCCCCAAGTACCCCACACATCTATTGGACAAGTGTGACACGGGTCACTCAAATCCTTGAGCAAACAGAGATGGGCCGTCCCTTATCGTGACTCTATATGTAGATTGTACGCAAGATGACATCAGCACATTCAGGCCCTAAATCTCCATGCATGTCTGATCACAGTCGCTAATGCACACATGAGAAAATGCCCGCGTAGAATACCAAGTACGAGGTATTCTTCTCGCACTATTCCATTCTGCCTCTCTTCGCAGCCACATCTATTCGCCACAAACTATTCTGCACAGTCCGCAAAAAAAGCTTGACCGGTGGAGCAATTTTATATACAGTGGGTCACTGCTCGCACGTGATCTGTTCAACACAGGAAAGTTTGCATCATCGATGACGAAATGTTTTCAAGAGCAGAATTATTTACTGCACCCAGAAACGGCATCTCATGAAGCCACTTGCGATTGGTTTGCTTGAGCAGTAGATTGAGATACTCGACCCGTTTTAATTTTCAGCTGGCTTCAAACTGACAGAAACGGCTGTGGGTTTGTCCTTCCGTCATCGTCGGTGCTCACCAAACTTGGATTTTTTTTTGACTTCTTCTCTCATGCAGAAATGTTTGATGTACCTGTAAATGTCTGATTTAAAGGGTCCCCTTCTAGCCGCATGCGGTCTGTAAGCAAGCTCGCTAAAATCAGTTGTGGTTTCATGATGAGATACCTCCTTTCAGGCGCTCACCATTATTTCGAAAAAGTGTTATGCTATTTTCGTTACCTCTTGGTTTAAACATCGTCGAGTGCTTAAACTGTAACAATGTTGTCAGCCTTTTTTCGTTAGAATACGGAGGTCAACCCCGGTCAAAGTCAAAGAACTGAGAAAATTTGCACTAAATGAGACCCGTGAAACTTCTGTGGTCGAAATACAATCATAAGTCCAGACCTCTGACATTCGAAAATCCAAGTGGTAACAAAACTGTTCCACTTGCCGGCATCATATTCGCCTAAACGTCTCTTTTATATCAAATTAGGTGTGAGCCAAATGACTTTTGATATCAGTTTTACTAAATTAGCTTAGAATCTATGCATCCCTGGGGAAGCAACGCGAACGCAGGCAAAGCGATATTAGCAAGTCAATTGTCGGGTGGCGAGGATGCAAACCCCGTGTCACGTGCCATGCGTCACGTGTAGGATACTGCGCGCCGGCGTCAGCGGAACAGCGGCGCTAGATCAAAAAGTATTGCTTCGATGCCTTGTCAAATATTCTGCAGTACATTTTGCAGCATGAAGTATTTGAAGAAATTTAAGGAGTAAGTATAAGACTTAGGGATGGAAAAAAAATCAAGCGAAAGTCTCACGCATAACATGCAGGAACACACGACCTGCTCATCCAGTCAAGGGCTACAAATCGAGGCTTCTCAGCGCTTAGTCTTTGCATCACAGCGCTTAGTCTCTGCGTCTGGATAATTGAAAGACAGTCTCAACGAGCGCTAATCTGTGGAAATAAACTTATACTTAGAATATCCCTTTTTTGTAAATCTGTTACTGTTGGCTTTGGAGAGCCGCTGAAGATACGTGCATTTCCAAATGAGCAGGATGATTGTCGACTCCGGTTCTGTATAAAGTCTGCCTAGCTAGATTTACTTTAGACACTGATGGTGAAGTTTCCAGAGAGTCCTTACTTACTGGTAGTGCAGATTACGAGCAGAGAGTAATATTTACATGGGCTACTGGGTCTGCTATGAAAGCCATGGCTTGGAGACATATCTAAGTTTCGCAAAAATTCTTGGAACACAATTAAAATAACACTGCGCAAACAGAACGAGCAAAAACGCCTTTTTTACTATCTCCGGAAAGCGGCTGGCAGAAAATGCAAGCGGAATTATGGAATGTGATATCATGAGGGACAGTTGAGAGTGGGGCCAGGTCGTGCGGCTTATCGCCCCCGCTTTTCTTGTTTGGGATACGACTCCAGATTTTAGATGAGGGCTCCAAACATTCAGGCTTCTTTAAGCCACGTGACTTGGTTTGAAAACACGCTTCTGATGTTTGTACCATCCCTAGAACTTTCAGTCCAGGGGCGCTGATCAATTGAGCTAGAAGCACTTGATATCGTAAATGCGAAGTCGGTTTCGCAGCTGTGGAGGCCAATTGACTCACGTTTTTCGCTGTGTATCTCCTCGGCTCTGCAAAGTCAAAATCCGCAAACGATGAATTCTGAACACATGTCATTATCCCTCAGGAACCCCAAAACAATTGCTTTTTATCCTGTCTGGCCAGGTCACATGAGATATCGGGCCATTTTCACTTGGTGCGCCAATCACACGTACCCCACTTTGGCCTGGGCGCCCCGCAGCAATCCTTCTCGAAAGGAGCGAGGTGTATGCATGTCTAAGGACGCATGTACGATAGGCCACTTATCAGTTTTTCCGTGCTTATAGAGCCCACATCTCGCATTCTCAACGACCGACTTTTTTTTTTCCTTTCCTCGCTACTTCCACAAGCTTCAATACCCTCGGCACGTGTTTTTACTCGCGCCCTGCTGACGATTGTGTGAAATCATCAAAGTTGAAACCTGTTCTTATCAGCGCTCATCCAATCTGCTCAATTGACCATTTTTGCCCTTTTTTCGAGTACGCTGATCGAAACACTCGAACATCCCGGATCCTTCCCCGTCTAATTGCTATTTCCTGCTGAAACATGCTGGAGCAAGAATTCTACGGTTTGCTTACTGCAGAGGAGCGGCGGCTTCACGAGAACAAAAAACGCATCAAGTACCACAAGAGGTGGGGGTCTTATCTCAGTGAGCGACAATGGGCCACCGTGCGTGAGGATTACTCTGCCTCGGGCAGTGCATGGGACGACTTTTCATTCGACGACTCGCGGTACAGAACTTACCGGTGGGGAGAAGACGGGTTGGCCGGCACCTGTGACACGCGTCAGTTGGTGTGTTTGCTGATGGGTCTCTGGAACGGAAAAGATGACATTTTAAAGGAAAAGTTATTTGGCGTGACCAACTCTCAGGGAAACCATGGAGAGGATGTGAAAGAGCTTTACTACTACTTGGACAATACGCCCACGCACTCTTACATGAAGTTCTTGTACAAGTACCCGCAAAGCAAATTTCCATACAAGCAGCTTGTGGAGGAAAGTGGCAAGAAGTCACGCTTGGAACATGAGTACGAGATCACTGACACGGGGATTTTCGACGAAGGCCGCTACTTCGACGTAGTGCATGAAGTGGCCAAATCCGACGACGATCCCGAAGAATTGTTGTTCAGAATCACTGCGTACAACCGTGGGCCTGATGCAGCGCCATTGCACATTATCCCTCATGTGGTGCTCAGAAACACGTGGGCCTGGGGCACTGAGGAGCTGCAGAAAGGCAAGCCTCACTTGCGTGCCACTGACAACTTTTCCATCGAGGTCGACCATCCCAAATTCGGGATACGCCATGTTGTGTTTGCGCCAGCGCCGGGCGTGTCTGAAGAGGCCCTGGACATCGAGCCACAACTACTTTTCACGGAAAACGAGACTAACGCCAAGCTTTTGTATGGGCAAGAAAACGCCGCTGAGTACGTGAAAGATGCATTCCACGACTACGTCGTTGACGGCAAGAAAAAGGCGGTGAACCCCAAGAAGGAGGGCACCAAGGCCGCGGCTCTCTTCTCTTTTGATCAGGATGGGGGTGTTGCTCCAGGAGACTACGTGACCATCCGGTACAAGATGTCGAAAACTGGCGGCGAGATCGACGAATTCGAATTTGACAACGTCTTTGGGCGCCGTCAGGATGAGGCTGATGCCTTCTACTGGAAAGTCTCTCCTTTGCCTCTTTCGGACGAGTTGAGACAGGTGCAGAGGCAGGCATTCGCGGGCTTGTTATGGACAAAGCAGTTTTACCATTTTGTGCACAGCTACTGGCTGAGCGGTGACCCCAATACACCTGCTCCACCAGAAAACAGAGCCAATGGCAGGAACAAGGACTGGAAGCACTTGTTTATCGATGATGTGTTGTCCTTGCCTGACAAATGGGAGTACCCTTTCTTCGCCGCGTGGGACACGGCATTCCATTGTATTCCATTTGCCATGATCGACCCTGAGTTTGCCAAAAATCAGTTGGAACTTTTGACTAGAGAGTGGTATATGCATCCAAACGGTCAGTTGCCCGCGTACGAGTGGAACTTCAGTGATGTGAATCCACCAGTGCATGCCTGGTCTTCTTACAGAGTTTTCAAGATTGAGCGTAAGATGTACGGCGTGGAAGATTTGGACTTCTTGGAAGGCACGTTTCAAAAGTTGCTTATCAACTTCACCTGGTGGGTGAACCGAAAGGATTCCGAAGGAAACAATCTTTTTGAAGGTGGCTTTTTAGGACTTGACAATATTGGTGTCTTCAACAGGTCCGAGCCTTTGCCCACAGGTGGAACATTGCAACAGTCGGACTCGACCGGCTGGATGGCTTTCTATTGTTTGCAAATGTTGAACATTGCTTTGGAGTTGGCGAAGACAAGACCCGTATACGAAAACATTGCTTCTAAGTTTTTCGAGCATTTCTTGTTGATTGCAGACGCTATGTCGTACCGCGGCGCTAAGAAGGGGGATCAAACCCCTACGGACCAATCTTTGTGGGATGAAAATGATAAGTTTTATTATGATGCAATCCATTTCGGCAATCACACGCAGTCCTTGCCCATCAGGTCTCTCGTTGGTTTGATCCCCTTGTATGCGTCATTGACTTTAGAGCCTGAATTGTTGAACAAGTTTCCTTCCTTCAAGAAAAGATTAGACTGGTTCATCGAAAACAGAAGATCTGTTGCCGAAAGAAACATTGCTTCGATGACAAATCGTGGTGTGGGTGAAAGGCTTCTTTTATCTTTGGTCAATAAAGACCGTCTTGTGGCAATCTTGGAGCGCATGTTGGATGAAGACGAGTTTTTGTCGGATTACGGCATCCGGTCATTGTCTAAGTACCACGAAAAGCACCCCTTCGAATTGGACGTGAACGGGCAAAAATACGAGGTCAAGTATTTGCCGGGAGAATCCGACTCGGGCATGTTTGGAGGAAACTCCAACTGGAGAGGTCCAATTTGGTTTCCTGTCAACTTTCTTTTGGTTGAGTCTTTACAAAGATTTTATTTGTACTACGGCTCTGACTTGAAAGTTGAGTGTCCAAAAGGTTCCGGAGAATACTTGAATTTGGCGCAGTGTGCAGAGGAGATTCAGCATAGATTGATTCATTTGTTCGTCCCCGACGCTGAGGGCAACAGAGCATGTAATGGCGAGAACGACCTAGTGAACAAGGATCAGTACTTCAAGGACTACGTGCCCTTCTACGAGTACTTTGATGGTGACACTGGGCGTGGTCTTGGTGCTCTGCACCAGTGTGGCTGGACTGCAGTTGTTGCCAAGTGGATCCACGACAACGGAACCACCTGCAGAACACCCAAGACCCCGAAGTCTGCTCCAAAGCCCGTGCGCAGAAACTCCATTCATTCTTTCGAGACGGAGAACGAGTCTGCTTTGTCCCAAGAAGAAGAGGACAACCAACTTCTTCAGAAATACGCGCCCAAAGCTGGGCCTTTCCCCGGCCGGTTGACGAGAAGACGCAGTGGGAAGTCGTTATTGAACTTGACCATCCAGTCGTTGGATTTCGGGGACGACGAGAATATCAAGACTGGCGAAGAGCCGATTGCCGGGTTCCGTGACTTGAAGAACGTGACCGCGGAGATGCACGACCTTGAGTTGGCACGCACTGATTCGAGGCGGTCGACGGACTCCAGAGGGCATGACTCGAACTTGATGGACCAGATCCGGTCAGCGTTCAAGAAGTACAAAAACCGTACCGACGAGGACGAGGCAGATGAGTTTGAGACCAGACATTGATACAGAGACCCGTCTTGAGCCTACATACTAGATTAAGACCGAATGAACGTTACTTTTGAGGGCACGCGGTGGAGTCTAGGAATAGACCTGCCGTTGTGTATTCCATGGCTTTCGGCACCCCAGCCTGACACAAAGATATAAGAACTGTGAAATTAGCATCACAAGAACTTGAAACATTTTAGGGGGGCAGCTCGGTTTCAACAAGCTTTAATATCTAGAGCGTTTGCGTCGTGCAGATTGTTCAGCAGATGCAAGAGACGTCTTATACAAGGAACAATCCAGGACTGCACAAGGGCACGAGCACAGAAACAGAAAAGAAAAGAAACATACAAGTGAATGCGCCCAATAACCCACCAGGTCTTTCTACTTGAAAGCCACATACCCAATATTCCAGTCCATGCAGCAGAATGGCGGACCGAGCACCGGACCACGGATTGGTCCACGTTTCCACCTCCTGCACACGGACCCGTGCGCCGGCACCGCTCGCTTATCGCACGGGGCCCTCGTCACGTGAGCCGCGCGCGGCCCGCGCCTCGTGCTCAGTCTCCACAGTCAGCAATCCTTCAACACCAACTAACTACCGCACACATTATGGCGGAACTTCTTGAAACATACGAGTCCGACTTCCAGTTGGCGCTCCAGGAAGCGCAGCTGAAATTCTCCACGGTTGGCCGCGAGCCTGCTCAGCGCCGCGCCGCGTTGCAGGCTATCGAACATGCCACCGACGAGGCGCTCGAGATCTTGGACCAGATGAATGTCGAGGTGCAGAATTTGCCCGCCAGCCAGCGGCTGGCCCAAAACGCCAAGATCCGGCAGCACCGTGGCGAGGTCGATGCCACAAAATCGAAGTTGCGCCAGCTTCTAGACGAGGAGGACCGCGGCGCCTTGTTTGGGCTGCGGTACACAGACGAGGAGGCCAGCGTGGGCGGCACGGGCGGGGACAATCAGAGAAAAACGCTTTTGAGCAACAACGCGTCGCTTGAGCGGACCTCGGACCGGCTCCGGGAAAGTCAGCAGATCGCGTACGAGACCGAGAACATTGGGGGCAACATCCTCAACGACTTGCGTGCGCAGCGGGAGCAGATTGTCAATCTGCGGAACACGTTGGGTGCCGCCGACAACTACGTGGACAAGTCTGTGCAGACGCTCAAGTCGATGCTGCGGCGCATCACGGCCAACAAGTACATCAGCTATGCGATCATCGCGGTGTTGGTTCTTCTAATATTGCTTGTGCTCGCCAGCAAGTTTTGATGCTGTGCGTGTTTTTGAAAGTTTTGGGTGTAGCGGTGCGTGTTTCCGAAACTTGTGGGTGTCCATGAGTGTCTAGTGTTTGGTTGGCTCTCGGTGCTCTGGAGTAATACATTAAACTGAGATATGGAAGCGTATGGAAGCGCAGCTGTGCGGGCTGTCTTGCGTGTGAATCTAGGGCTGCGAGTCGGCTTTTTTCTGTTTATCAGAAGTGAGTGACTGGGCTATGAGATTGTATCTGGTGTCTAGCTTTCTAGCATAATTTGTTTGAGTCTGAAGTCGTGTGGTACAATGGCAGCTAGTCTCGGGAATTCTTGGCCCCATGGAATATAATGATGTAGGCTCAGCTGTCTATTTCTGTCTACATTGGCTCCCTTTGGAAACAGCACAGCTTCGAGATCTGGTGCCTTTGCGGCTGATGAAGAACAAGCTTTTCTATTTCCCCCCTTTCTTAGGGTCTCTGTATGAATCTCTGTGGCTGGGGCAGACTGCGGAGAAAAATGAGCAGGCAAGGGGAACTGAGTAAAATTGCCATGATCTACTTTTTCAATAGAGCAATAATCATTGCAACGGTGGAGCATCAAGGCCCGTTCCACGGTGCATTCAGGCTCCAGATCGTACTACTGCTCAAAATATAATCTTTTGCTTTAAAGGTCAATCATTTTCACGGCACTTGAATACCAATAATTTGCAAGATCTCAGCTTTTCTAAGGGTCCATCAAAACGTCGATTTTCCTACGGTGTTAGATTCTAAATTTCCCCAGGGTACTAGAGTCTCAGCTATTTCCGAGACGTCAGCTATTCGCATTGACTTGACTATACTCGGTGTCGTAAATCATTGATTACTCGAAACATTAAAATCTCGGCTATTTCCGAATGTCAGCTATTCTAAGGGTATCAAAGCGTCGATATTCTTATGGTATTGAATTCTTAACCACCCCAGGGTAATAGAGTCTCAGCTATCTCCGAGACGCGACCACTATTTCAAGGTTTTGACTTAACTACTCCCAGGGTAGTTGATTGTCGGCTACTCAGAGTATAAAAATCGCCGTGATTTCAACTATTCCCAGGGTATTCAAACATCGATTCTCCTCAGGATATTACATTCTCGAACTCGCAGAATCTAAGAGTCCACGATATTCTTAATATATGTTACATTGGTCCCTCCACGTACCTCTCGCAAAAAAACATAAAGAGGCGCCAAAAATCCACACCACGGCCGATTCGGCTCAAATTCGTCCGGTGCCTTCTTTCAACTACACAATACCCAAAAAGAAACAGAAATCCTCTTTCCAGGCCCTGTCATGTCGTAATGCTGCGTATCTCATTTTGACTGGGCCAGGGCGACGCTCGGCCGAATGGCCCCGCACGTCCCAAAACAGCGAGCTCCGAGATACCGTCCTGCTTAGTATAAGCGACTTTTAATTAGTCCAGAGGCCGCCTGAATCACTGGGCGAGTCATTACTCCATCAAAGAGAAGAGCACCCTACGAACACGAACACAAGGTCACGAACACACAGACACCAATACACAGACACCAAACAGACACCAGCACACAAAGACGGGAATTAGGGAAATACAAAAACACGGAAACTCACGAAAACCCCGAAAAGTCATACACATAAGTCCCACTCAGAGATCGTGTCTTCCGCACCCAGCCTCGAGTTCTGCACCGTTCCAGTTCTCGGTTCTCAAGATACAGTTCAAAGGTGCACTATTTTTTTTTTTCGTCCCATTCACTTTCCACGCTTCACATCATCATTCGGGTCCCCCAGCAGTCGTCTTTATTCCGAACAAAAAGAAACGCCGCTACTCTCTCCAGACATCCGCGAGATAAAAACCAGCAGTCATAGTAGTGCCCTCTTGCTGCCCAAAATTCTCTTTTCACCACACTCCCATAACATCAAAATGTTCAGAGCAGCCACACTTCTTCACCGGTCTTTGGCAAGAATCCCTCGTGTATCGCACAGTATAGCATCGGCCGGCCTGCAGAGAACATTCACACAAAGCATGGCCAGATTGCACGGCCATCTCCACAAGGCCAAGCCCGGCGAGGAATTGAAAATCACGTTCATCTCGAAGGACGGGCTGCAGCAGACGTTCGAGGTTGCCGAGGGTGACAACATTTTGGACATTGCCCAGGCCCACAACTTGGAAATGGAGGGTGCCTGTGGCGGGTCGTGTGCGTGCTCGACCTGCCACGTGATCGTCGACCCGGAGTTCTACGACGAGATCCCGGAGCCGGACGACGATGAAAACGACATGTTGGACTTGGCCTTCGGCTTGACGGAGACTTCCCGTTTGGGCTGCCAGGTCAAGATGACCAAGGACTTAGATGGCATCCGCATTGCTCTTCCTGCCATGACGAGAAACTTGCAGTCGAAAGACTTCAATTAGGAGGGTTCGGAATGCGGCCATGTAGATAGATACTCTTGACAAGGCCACGGGCGGAAAATGTAGATACAGCCTGGACTGTTGTCTGGAGAGCTACGTGTTATAGATATGCATGCCACGAAAGCGAAGGGTGTAGGGAAGGGCTAGATTTCGAACAAAGCGAAATGCGGAGAGTGAACGGGCCAAAGAAGCATTGTGGGATTTGCATAGTGCTGATGAGAACGGGTGTTCAATGTTTGGTTCAGCCGGGTCAGATGTGATGTTATATACATGTATATGTATATGTATATGAGTATCAGCTAAGAAAGAGTACTCTAGCGAAGAGGCCGTCAGCCACGATTGTGATGTTCAATAGATGTTCTCGAGCCGAGGAGCTACTTTTTCTGGAGCCGGAAAACAAAATTATCTGGAGCCAAGGATCTATACTTTCTGAAGCCGAAAAGCTACTATATCTGAAGCCGTAGAGCTAAGTTTTGAAGCCGGAGAGCCAAATTTTCTGGAGCCACTGAATTTCCTGGAGCGTCTGAATTCTGGAGCCAAGGAAATACATTCTCCAGAGCTAAGGTCATGCCAACCCAAATTGGTCTCTGCCTGGATGAGCTCATCACCGGCACTGGGCGATACGAGATCGGCATATGCACCCTGTGTTTACGCGAAGCGAAACCAACCACGCCCGAAACACACGTGAAACGCCGCCCCACCGCCGTGCTTGCGCTCCAAGGCCCCTGAAACACCGCTGAAACACCAGCCGGCCATACAAGACGCGTCATCCAAGACCTCTCCAGGCATCTGCAAATGAGTGCAAACAGCCACCGAGTCAGAACCTCTCCTGCGAGAAAACGTAGGCGCGTGCTTTCGGAAATCCAAAACACAGACGGGCCGCTTCCGACTGCCAAAATTCGTAAAAAGTCCTTGGATTTCGACTTGGTTCGTATCCCAAGCTCACTGAAGAAACTGGCACCCGAACATTCGACGCCCCACCCCCTCGAAATGGCGCCTATTGAGGCTCGAAGGCCCAATCTGCTCTCGGACATGAATACAAAGGGCTCCGGAATCCCGATGCTCGTGAAAAACGACCGTTTCGAGCGCTTTCTCACAATCAGCCAGTCGCTCAATCGGAAGTCATCCATCAACGGGCTTAGTGGGGAAATGCTCCCCTCGGCACACCAGCTAGAAGAACTGAAACAAGCCAATTCTAGGGCCCTTTTGCACAAACTCGAGCTGGAGGCAAAGTCGCTAGATAAAGAGCTCTCAGAGGCCACTCGCAGATTAGCATATGCTCAAGAAGAGGCGTTCGAAACCCGCAAACTCCACAGAGCATTGCAGAACGAGTACCTGACGCTCCAAAGTGCCGTGGAGGAGCACGAGGGCAAATTCGAATTCTTGCTGGGCCAGGTCACCACACGGGTCGAAATGATGGAGCGTGATATCCAGCTCCAGATCAAGGAATATGGCAACAAGGCCCAGAGCTCGTACAACGATGTTGAAATGGAGGTCAAGACAGAGCTCCAGAATGCCTTGAGGAGCGAGGACGAGGAGACCTCCAAGGAATTGGCCGTTCTCGAGGAAAAGAAGAAACAGTTGGAGCTCCAGCTTGGGGCGATGGTTTCGGCAAACAACGATAAAATCAAAAAAGAGCAGGACGCAATATCTAGGAAAGCCGACGAGGCCGCTAGGAATATCGACCACGACGTCTCGATTGCCGAGCAAACACTCTGTGATTTGCAAAAGGCGCATGACGCATTGGAAGAGGAGAACCAGAAGCTACAGGCCGCCATTTCCTCGGAGGAGGCGGCGGGCCTGAAAACGAAAAGCGAGATCTCCGCGTTGGAGCATATTATCCAGAATCACGTGGTGCTGAGATCTGCCATGGAGGCAAAGCTCCGGCTGGAAACGGAGCGTCTTCGGGCATTTGAAAAAACCCAGCAGAGCTGGCAACAAAAGGAGGCCGAGGCGAAGCTCGCCTACGAAAAAGAAAAACTGAAACACGACGCGTACATGTCGACACGGCGTCGTCTCGAACATGCGATTTCAAGACTCAGTGGAAAAAGCCGGGCTCTCATCAGAATCAAGCACAACCTAGAAACTGGCGTGGACCATGCCCAAGCCACGAGCCTGAAATATGGTACATTCAAGGTCAGCGCGTATGAGCCCGATGCCGACTTCTCGAGAAACTGGGAGCTCTTGAGCCAGGAGTGTTTACGCGGTGCTCGAGTGTCTCTATCGTTTTTTGGCTCGCCACGGCAAGACATGTGTCTGCAACTAGCTGATATTCTCGTGTTTCTCCAACGTGGACAGGCGTCCTCGAACAAAGGTGGTCAGGAACACACATTTTGTCTTCAGAGCGTGCTTATCCACGACAACAACCGGTACTCGGATCTCCTCAATCTGTCTTCCGAAGTCGATATACAGCTTAAGACTGGCTACATCAATGTTGTCAGCCAGAAGATGCTTGTGTCCAACAGCTCTGAAATCCACAATACATTGAAGAGCAGCGCAGAATACACGGGGGCATATCTCCATATCTTCACGGTTATGGGCTCTGGCACAGGGAATTCGGAAACACCGCTAGGCTCGGTGCTGATACTTGACCTTTCACATCTCTCATGGCAAGCACAGAATGAAGCGCTTGCTGCTGAGCGCAATACTGGAATCTTGCGTGACTTGCTTCAAAGATCCCCGCTCGACCATAACAACATGGATATCTGTGATCTTGATAATGTCGACGAGCCCGGTGCCCAGGAATTGCTTGCATCTTTGGAGAGCAGGACATGCTGATGTTCATGGAGGGTGATTCAAGCTGACTGCATGCATCACTGGAAATGCTACATGGGTGCAAGGTAGGAAACTTGGATTGTCAAAGTTAAACAGATGCAGTTGTAATTATAAGAGTATGTCTGGGAGAAAGGTTATATTTCTGGAGGCAGGCCTGGGTGAGCTCCTCGGAACTTGTTGGAAACGACTTGGTATATAACACACTAAAGAAGATTCGAAATAGTCCATGATTTCGGGCAAACATTGGAGTGCGTTTTTTGTCGTAAACCAAGTGAAGCATTATTTACTCACCAGTGTCCTTTGTATTGTGGTGAGCATTGCGTCAGGCTCTGTCATCTCGATAGATCATTCCCGAAATTGAATCAGCAGTCTGATGACGTAAACTCTGTTCTCACAATGTAATTCCTTTGAGTCAGATAAGTCTTCGGAGCGGGATATACAAGGTTAGAAAGAAGAAGGCTTCCAATGGATTCGTGAGAAAAATGCACTTTGAAAGAGTGGGCGTAAATGTTACGAAGAGCAGGTATTCAGAGGGCTTCGAGACAAAAGAGACGATTCATCAACATAGCACCTTTGCTTTGATGAGTGCGGGATGGAACGTGGAGGAAACACCCCGAAGCAACTCCGGAGTAGACCATTCATCAAGACTAAAACGTGAGGTTGTTTCGGAAAGAGATCACATCGAATATGAAATCGAAGTGGAACAAGCTCGAATAGGCTTGAAAGCTGAGCAGAAAGTGTGATGCAGAGAAACATGCAAATCATTCGTGAGTCTCATGCCATACTTCAAAGCTGGGAAAGTGTTGATATCAAAGGCTAAAGCACTAGATAGAAAATGAGAAAGTATTGATATCTCTAGCTAAACAACTAAATGAGAAATGAGAAAGTATTGATATCTCTAGCTAAACAACTAAATGAGAAATGAGAAAGTATTGATATCTCTAGCTGAAGCACTAAATGAGAATGAGAAAGTATTGATATCTCTAGCTAAAGCACTAAATGAGAATGAGAACATATGGACATCTGGCAGCGGGACCAAGGCCCCGACAGCTTGGCAGTGTGAAATACAATACATTGATGTAGGCTCCAGAAGCACAGCATCGAGTGGGTAGCATACCAGCTGAGTTTGAAATATAGTACAGCTCCAGAAGACACCCATTTTCAGGCAGTAGTCAGCAGTCCATGCAATGTGAGACCCAGCATCCTCGTGACTAAACCGCATTGTGCAATCAAGGAGCAGTATTGCAAGGCTGAGCAGTATGACAGGCGCTGGCGAGCAAAGCAAAGACGAGCACATGAGACAAACGAACCGCATCCTTGATGCAAGACTGCTCCATGCGTAAGCCCTCCATGCCATTGGCCCCACACGAGCTGTGAGCACGTGTTCGGTCTTGCGCGTGTCTTGAGTAGCCCCGTTGCGACCTGGATATGTCTCTGTATGCTCGTCTCGATGAGTCCCCGCTTGGCATGCATTTCGCAAATGAAATATCCCGCCTTGCTTTCTTTGGGTTGGAAGCACCATTCTGCCATGCACTTGTTGGCAGCCGGAGCACCACGCGGCTGTCGGGAGTCCTGCTTTGCTTGCCATTCGCTCTTCAATGGAACAATCTCGCACTGGCGATTCACGCGAGTGCCTCTCAAGGAAAAACGGCAGCAACAGGCCGCGCTCCCACACAGTGGGCCTTACTGGGCAGCGAGTTCCTCGAACTCCCATGCAAAACCGACCCGCTTCCCCGAAGCCACCGGTCCCTCGAGCCACAGCGCCCAACCCGCCCTGAGAACGGCCCGCGGGCACGCCAGGAGAGCTTTCTAGTACAGTACGGGCCGACGGCCGAGCGCAGCAAGCAACAGGAACCGCACCGCCGTGAGTTTGCCGCGGCCCGCCCGGCAAAGATGCCATGCGGCTGCGCCGCCGCTCAGGTCGACGAGCGGATGAGGTCATGGAGCAACCACTTCAACTCGTCCGGCGTGCCCACGTGCGAGACCTCTTTGGGCGGCGGCGCGCCCGAGCCGCCGTTCGGCACGACGCCGTTTCCCTGCGCCGCAGGCCCGTTTTCCGGGTCCAGGGCCGGTCTTTTCGGCCCGGCGCTTTCGGGCGCAGACGGGGCGGCCTTCGGCGCCGCGAGCGCGGGCCGCGGCGGCAACTCGTAGCCCGGCCCGGCGTGGTCTATGAGATCGTCGTTCTGGAGCATGATGCTGCAGAGACGCGCCTGCGGGCCGCCCGGCTCCGCCAAGTGCGGGAACATTTCGAGCGTGTTGTACATGTCCTCGGGACCAATGACAATCCGGCAGCAGGCCGCCAGGCGCCGGCTGCGCGGCGCCGCGGCCGCCCACGCCGGCGCCGCCCTGCAAAAAGCCGGGCTGGAGGAACGCGCTGGACTCGTACTTGCGTTTGCGGTAGCGCACGGAGTCCACGGCGCACTCCACGATGTTCTTGAGGTGTGTTTCGAGGCCGAGCGAGATGACCTCGAACACGCGTGCGCCGATGCCGCCCGTGAGCCCGTGTTCGCGCGAGGTCATGAGCACCTTCCGCGAGAGCGTGTCTGTGTCCGGGAGCTCGTGGCTGGCGGACGCGAGCGGCGTGTTGATGCCGTTGACCACGTCCTGCTGCCACTGCACCAAGTTGTTCACCTGCAACTGCTGCTGCTCCTTGTCCAGGATCATGGGGATTTTCGGGAGCAACGCCTGGCGCGTGAGCGTGACGGACGCGCCGAGCCTGTCCCGCTTGCCGGCGTCCTTGGTGATGGCGCGGATGCGCCGCCGCTCCTTCAAGGGCAAGCCCATGATGTTCTGCTTGAACTTCTCGTACTGGCTCAGCTTGACGCCGCGCGCCTTGGCGTTGCGCTTGTTCCAGAAGCTGGCGAGCTCGCTCAGGTACTCCTGCGCACCGTCCTGGAGCGAGTGCGCGAAGTTGAGGAGGAGGAGCTTGTTGTGGTACTTGAGCAAGCCGGCCTTCATCAACGGGCCGACCCGCGCCACCAATTCCGCCCGCGAGAGCCGCCCGATGAGGAACGCCGAGAGCGCCTCGTGGTACGTTTCCCAGTCGGGCCCCAACTTGCTCTGGAACTCGCGCATCACCGCTTCTAGCTGGAGTCGTTTGTTGGTTTTCGCAGGCTGGCTCGCGGCCACCGGCGAGGGCGCCGCCACGCTGGACATGGGGGCCGAAGGCGCGGAGATGTACTTCCGGGGGCGGTCCAGCCTAGGCGGCCCTGGCTGTGCCTCCTCCTGGCTTTTGTGGTGCGCTGGTCCGGCCGGCGAAGTTCGGGTCGGTCGCGCTCCTTCCAGATGCGCTGCTCGGCCTGCTGGAATCGGCGAAAAACGGTTTTTTTTTTGCCCGCTTGCTGCTGCTCAGCCCCGGACGTGTCTGAGAACGTCGTGTGCTCGGGAAAGCCGGCGGGCGTTTGGTTCCGGGCTGTTTTGTTGCCCTGGATAGGAGGCTGGTTGTGCGACTCGCGTGTGCTCGAAACCCACGCAAAAAAACACAAGAGGACCTGGAAATAAAGACCCAAAGACGCCTGGGGCTCACTTGGGGACTGCCGCTTCTAGTGGACGATGCTTTTTTCGGCCCCTCGATACACGCTGTATGGGGTTGCTGGATGGAGGGCGAGGCTCTGGCGGCACGAGGTGTTTTTGTCTGGAAGAAAGACACGCTACATGCAGGCTGCGCCTGGGTCCCGTATATGGTGGTCTGGAGCTTGCCCGAAGCCAAGTGAATGGGACACTCGAGGGTCTATGATGCCAGTTTTGGTTTTGGTTTGCTCGGTTCTGTTCCCTTTCCTTCTACCTTTTTTGAACTTTCTCTTTTTATCTTTCTTTTTCAGCTTTCTCTTTTTATCTTTCTTTTTTCATCATTCTCTTTTCATCTTTCTCTTTTCATCATTCTCTTTTCATCATTCTCTTTTCATCATTCTCTTTTCAACTTTCTCTTTTCATCATTCTCTTTTCAACTTTCTCTTTTCAACTTTCTCTTTTCAACTTTTTTCAACTTTCTCTTTTCATCTCTCCCTCCCTCTCTCTATCTTCCCTGTTTGTCTTTCGCCGACTCAAAGGAGCCTTCTTGTTTCCGACGTTTCCACCAGCGACAAAAACACACATGTTTTCGGGGCCGCATCCCCATAGGACGGCAGCCTGGGGGCCTCACTCAACACTCTTGAGCGCCAAACGCCCTCATTGTAGCAGAGACGACGTCTGCCCCCACTCCTCTACTGCCTCGTTCGAAAACCCCGTCGGGGCTATGCATCAGACTCCCGGGCTTCTGTTTTCTCGTCAGAAGCATTTTCCAATGAGTCTGCGGGCTCCACGTTTTCCAAGACAGCCTCCCGCTTGTGGCTCCGGGCCTCCGTTATCACAAACACTACCGAAAAAACCACCGCCAAAGCACTGACGCCTACGCCAAGGTACATGGCGCCTCGGTAGCTCGGTAGCATGTCGCCAGTCTTCTCCTTGACCTGGACCTCCACCGTACTGGACATTGCCAAAAACAAAGACACGGAGTAGTTCACCACGGTATTGACCAACAGGCCTGCCATGCCCTGGTGTTCCGAGGGCAAGAAGTCGGACAAGATCAACGAGGCCGCCGGGAACGAACAGTCCATGCCCCACGCAAGAAAGAACATCTGCGCAAACGTCAATCTCCAGAACGTCTGCTGCACGGGGCTGATCGAGAGAATCGTGGACCCGAGCATGAAGCCCATCATCGAGGCAAACATGATATACGGCGCCCTGTGCTTGCTGATGAAAAAGCCAACCAAGAGCGCAGCAGCGACTCCCAAAATAAGGAGGGGGAGGTACGTGAGAGCAGCGGCGATGGGCGTGTACTCTCGCAAGTTCAAGAGAAAGCTCCAGTAGTAATACTGCCATATGCCAAACGAGCCCCAGCCCAACGACATGCACAGAAGCACCAACCCAATTCGAAGCGTGAAGATCTCCCGGGGCAAGAGCGGGTGCTGAACGACCCTGAGCTCAAGATAGAAAAAACCAACGATCAGCGCAACACTCACAATGAGAAGCACGATGATGTACGGAGAGCCCCAGCCGACAACCGGCCCCTGGTTCCACACGAAGTTGAACAAGATAAGACCACAGATTCCGACCGCCGACCCCAAGAGATCGAACTTCTCGAACGCCTGCCGGAGCGTGTAGTCATGGTGCTTGAACGGGCCGGGAATGACAATCATGGACAACACGCCTAGCAAAGCACAGGCGATCCCCAACAACCAGAACGCCCAGCACCACCATACAAGCTGGGCAACCACGCCTGCCATTAAAACGCCAATGGTGGCGCCCACGGGAGCAGAGGCCCCGACGAAAGCAAACGCGAGGTTCTTTCTTTTTCCGGGCGGGTACACCGTGCCCAAGATGCCCATGGCACAAGGCAAGATAAACGCAAAACCAACCCCTTGGAACGCACGGCACGTGATGAAGAATATGGTGGATTTGCTATAGTACGAAAGCCCGGTGACGACACACCATAGGGCGGCCCAGAACCAGCCGAACAAAAGCATTCTGCGCAAGCCGAAAAGATCGCCCAATCGGCCCGATATCAAGATGAACGTGCCAAGCGTCAAGGCAAAGGAGCCCATGAACCAGACGGTCTGCGAGCTTGGGATCTGCTTGCCCTGCAATTCACTGAACGAGTCCGAGATAATATTCATTGTGCTCAATGACATGGCAATGGAGCCCTGGGCCAAGAACTGGGCCATGCATATGGTGAACTGGAAACATACCTCCTGGAAGGGAGACTTCAATATCAGGGGCCTTGGATCCATGACGCGCGGCTGAATGGTCTGGGTCTGAGACCGCAGCGATGCTCCACGTATATATATGCATGAAAAACATCATTGCATCTCTCGGCCCGAGCTAAGCATCTGCCGGCGGATCTGGTGACGGGATGTACGGGTCCAAGGAGACGCGCCGTGCGGCAACTGTTTGACGTGGTGGGGTGTCAAAGGCCATATCCGGAAGCGAGAGGCTGGACATTGTCGTGCTTCATGTTGCAGGCTACCCATTCCTCATTCATATCCGGGAGCCTCAGAGGATATTTCGATGGAAAAATCAAAAGTGATTTGGGACAATGAAAGGGCCCCGCCCTTCTAGCCTCGCATGAGCAGAGACCCCATGTATTTTGCACAAGGCTTTAGCAGACCAGCCCTGAAGTATGCGGGTGCGAATTTGGTACCGTCGCGAGTTCGGGCCCAGTTTGAGTCTTGTATCAGGCATGCGTCTCAGTCGTGGAGTTCCGCCCACGTGATGAATTGATCTGCGTTTGGTAGGTGAAAGGCGGGCGAAGGAAGATAGCACGGGCAACGCAGGAATGTCACGTGACCCTGGAAGCTGATAAGAATACCACGAGCCGGAGAAAAAACAGGCGATCAATCCTGCGAGTCTGGAGGTTTCCGGAAGCTCGCTGAAAAAGAACTTAAGACGGCTTTTCTTGCGCGCATCGATCGCATAGACCCCTTCAGTTTTGTCCAATGCTCTCAAGCTTCTCGAATGCGCATGAGCAATCTAAAGTAGGATGCCGTAGGGGATGGCGGGTCCTCTATAGAGGTGACACCAGGTGGACCTACCTGTGGTGTGAACATTGAGATTCCCGATTCCACAATAGACTTTTGAATGGATGACTGCTGAGATGATATCTCCTCTTGAAAGGCTGAAGCTGAAAGATTGGGTACCGTCTTTTGTCTTGAATCTGACGCTGAGGTGATATCTCCTCTTGAATGACTGAAGCTGAATGATTGGGTACCGTCTTTTGTCTTGAATCTGACGCTGAGGTGATATCTCCTCTTGAATGGCTGAAGCTGAATGTGTGGGTACCGTCTTTTGTCTTGAATCTGACGCTGATGTAATATCTCCTCTTGAAAGGCTGAAGCTGAATGATTGGATACCGTCTTATTTCTTGTGTCGCTGAAGCGCTGAACCGATTTGGGATATCTGCCATCCTCTTGTACAATCAAACGACGGAGTTGCCGAGTTGCGTCAGGCTTTCGGATCCATCGCAACAGCGGCTCCATCAAACAAGACACACAAAACACAACCCATACATCTCCCGACTATGGGTGGCAACCCAGTGCCAGCCCCGCTTTTTCTGAAGCTCGAAAAGCCTGTCCCAGGTGTCTCTCCAACTCTCCCGACCCGAGAGCCAAAACTCTAATCAGAAATAAAGCTACCGTCGCCTTTGAAAAGACGCCTCCCGAAAACCACCGCCTTCTCCGAGATCACCTCCAAAACCGCCCTCTCGCAGTCTACAGAAACACCGGGAGGCTACTCAAATACGCGTCCGAGAGCGAGGTGAACTCCGCACTATTCAACTTGGACGTGCCAAATTCGACAGGCGCTAGCGCGTTTCGGAGCACGTGTCCCACAAACACCGTGCTGTAGAGCTCCCAGAGTTGTGCCTGGAGATTGTCGACCTGCAAGTCCGTAACGAGGGCAAACTTGAAATTCGAGAGAGATTCGAGAAAATGCACGCGGTAGTGGCCCGTGCTAAAAGAGCGGAGGGTGTTAGCCGCCGGGGGCAATGCCCCTGGATCGGAGCCCAGATTGTCACTGCTTTCGGTGGCGCCAAGTTTCGCCGAAAGCGATTTGAGCGAGTACACGACTCCAAAGAGCAATTGGGCCATATCGCTGTCGTTGTTTTTGTTGACCGTGCCTTGGCCGGGGTTCTGGTGGTTATATTCACGTGAGTAGATACACGAGCAGTGGCGGTCGAATATGTACAACGCGTGGATGGTCATGTTCAAGTGCTATATATGAGCTGGATGGGATGGAAGCCGGGCCAGATCTTAAAAGTTGAAATTGGCTGTATGGGTAATACGCACTGCACACGTGACCACTGGATCGAGGGGATTTTGATGGGGAGGTGTCCTGATGGGAAGGATGTTTATTCGAAGGGAAAGATGTCTCAGACTAATTCCTAGGGTGTTTGGAGGAAGTTCTGGACAGGACACCCGTGCCTCCCACACAAGCAAAGCCCGGTGCCATGTCCAGGGTCACGTGACAGCCCTCTGGCCAGTGCTGACTGGCACCCGGGTCCACAGAGGAGTGGACAAGGAGAACTTTATGGACATACTATGTTATACCACCTGCGCCTTTTGGGGTATGTGCTGATTTCTGTAAGCTAGTCCATAACCGATTGTATGCAGGTCTACATCATCAGTGAGGCAGTGACAGATATCTATATATAAGTTGTAGGCTGCCGGATCCAATTCACACCAGCAGTGGGGAATTTGCCGGGGCTCGTTCGTCAAACGTAGATTTAGATTTCATTGCAAGGACTCTAAAATTTGTATCCTGACAAGATGTGAGTGGTAGCCGTGTCTACGTGCTAGTATTTACAGGCAACTACAAGAGAGATCAGAGGGAGCAAGATCCAAAACAATGCCAATAACTGAGACTGTCTTTCGACAATTGTATTTTTGACAATTTGGCCGCGTGAAGGGATTAATGAGACGGAAAATTTCGTGCGTGGGGACACCGGTGGCGTATTGTGAAATTCTTCTTGGTCTGGAAAAGCACGAGAAAATCTAGCCTAAACGAGGAGCAGATGTGTTTTCGAAAAACTCAAGTAGAAGTGGGAAGGACACTGCCGCTTTTCCACGGTGATAGTCTGTTCTTTGTGTAGAACCGACACGTAATTTGCTCCTTCGTTTTCTTTGATGTGCGTTATACCTATACCTTCTATAAATGGCCTATTGTTCATATTCATAGATGGAAAGCACGTGGGTCAATAACATCTAAGCATGTGCTTTGTGTTGGTTCTGCGGAGTGTAAAAGGACAAAGCAAAAGCCCGATTCTATCCAAGCTTGCTCGACAAAAGCTGCACGCCCCTCCTAACCATTGTTTAACTCTTTTAGCATATAGAAGCAAGCCCACACGGCGATCGGAGACCTTTCTGTTAGTATGTTTGCCCTGCTCCAATACTTTCTCAGACGTCAACAATAACGCAAGCGTGGGAGACAATAGGACACGCGTGCCTCTGCATCTGAGCCCTTTTTGCATGCGCAATATTGTGATTTCTATGAATGGGGGGTTGGATTTATTACTAGTGGTCGAGGTTGGATTAAATTGATAGCAGGCATGTGAAGGAGCTGGGCACAGAGCCCCAAAGTTTAGTATGATTGGCCTATCGTCTTGCAAGCAAGCCCTGTTTTTTGGGGCCCCAAGGGTTGGCTAGGGGAAAGAACAATGGAAATACAGAGCAGGAGAAAGGGATGAATTATAGGCCCATCTCCAACCTAAAACAGGGAGACATGGGCAACAATTAGCGGGTGTCCCAATAAAGTTGGCCTATTTTCAGGGGTATGTCAAAAAAGCCAGCAAACAGAAAAAGACGCCGAGACAAGGGCCTAAAATCTCGAGAGAAACGAGCAGTTTGGACGGACAATTGCAAATGGCACGGGACTACGCACAAGGTGTAATAACCCAGCGGTCGACTTCTCTGTGCCTCAAATTTGTAGATTAGTGTTGAGCAGGATTGCGGAAAGTGAGTCCGAATCTCCGTCAAGTCACAGCCTTGCAAGGCAGCACTGATGTGGCTGTGGCTCCATATGCGAATTGCAGGCTTGATCAAGAACCCAGGCCAGACCCTTGCGCAAAATGAAAATGCACATATGAGAGGAGAAAAAGGTAAATATAGAAAAAGAGCAGAAAGATGTAGAAGTCTATTTTAGCCGGATCGAGCGTGCATGACCGCTCGGGTACCGATGCCCTTGGAAGGTGTCCCAATACTTGGTCTTCTGCGCAAAGTGAACAGTATAGCCGCATGCCATGGGACCGTTGCAATATCTTTTCATCTCCGGTCAAATCGGAAGCCCCGCCAGAGCGCTATAGTTTTGCTTCAATCAGTCATACAATTGGCGAGCAGATTCCCAGAGCTGCGCAGATGAATGTGGCGGAGACTAAACTCCAACATGCTGTTTATTGTTGCATTGGCATTGTGAGAAATAGGAGCGATTAAGCCATGGCCCCGCAACTACGGAAATGGTAGAGCAGCGTGGTACTACAAGAGTGGACGAAACGAGAGATAAAGACTACAAAAATAAAAGAGAGAGGAGGTGGAGCTACAAGAAATGAAAAGGGTGGGTGGTTCAAGAAATGACACGTGGCTGAGCAGACCTGTTGCACCCAACATCGGGAGCAGCCCACAATCAGCACAGATGGTTCTAGACTGCCTCAGGCGGACATGCAGATATGAAAGCCGGTCTAGGACAGCGTGCGGCGTTTCCGGGAATTGCCCTTGAATTGAGCCACGTTCCTGCAAGGCTCGCCACGGTGGCCAAGTTTCTAATATCCAGTGGCGCCGCCGTCAGCGCAGGTCACGTGCGATCACCTATGCGCCAGTTCCGGGGCCTCGAATCCGGAAAGTGAGAGGTGTTGAGCCATTACGCCGGAGCCGTGCGCATGGAAAGAAAAATGGCATGACTCCTCGGGCCCCGGTGCGAGGAGTCAACGATGATTCATTTGCCCGACCCTTTCCTGGTTTGCAGGGTTTTCCCGCGGGCGATAAGACTAACCAACCAGAGTGGCAAGTAGAAACGAGATTCGAGAATCAAACAGAAACACAACAGTGAGAGAATCAAACAGAACAAAGCAAATAAAAGCAAATAAAACCAAATAAAACCAAATAAAACCAAATAAAACCAAATAAAACCAAATAAAACCAAATAAAAACAAATAAAAACAAATAAAAACAAATAAAACCAAATAAAACCAAATAAAACCAAATAAAACCAAATAAAACCAAATAAAACCAAATAAAACCAAATAAAACCAAATAAAACCAAATAAAACCAAATAAAACCAAATAAAACCAAATAAAACCAAATAAAACCAAATAAAAACAAATAAAACAAAACAAAAAAACAAATAAAACAAAACAAAAAAACCAAATTAACAATAAATCAGTAGCACAACACCGAGCCCGCGCCGGACCAGGGTCTCCGAGCCTTGGGAAAATAAAGCAAGGTGGGCCAGATCACCGGCCTCGCGGCCGGGCCTTGTTATGGGTCCATTGTGGGTCCGTGCCTGCAACAGTCCAGATCTCCCAGGGCTGCGTGGGCCAGCCAGGAAAGGTGAAACAGAAATAGAAAGTTGGAGCCCAAGGAAAATAGTCTATTGCCAATGAATGCCAATAAACGAGCGAGATTAAAGAACTGCAATGGAGAATGGAATGTGACATAGCAACCGTGGGCAGGACCGGCCCAGAGTTTCGCAGCGCCGTCCACTTTATTTGCGCGTGCCATGACTCCAGGTGACTCCTCAAGCCAGGCCTCTCCACCTCAAGCCAGGCCTCTCCAACTAAAAATCCAGACGCCCCCCTCACAGTGCAGCAGAAAGGCAGCGGCCATCAACCTCGATTCAGACTCTCCCCAACAAATAAAAAAATACACAGACCCCCCGCGAAGGGTGGCAACGGGCGGCCTTATCAAACGCCATCTCCAGGCCGGATCGGATCTATTGCACTGAGCAAAAATGCGCGCTGGATCTGAACCCCCGAAATTGGCTGTGGCCGCGGGTGTATAGTGCCGTGGCAGTGGAGAAAATTATAGGAGGGCAGGACCGGGGCACAAGTCGTGCGAACAGGCCCTGGCACGACCACTAGTATTAGAATAGCCAAAAGACAAACCAAAGGCACAAGCCAACACAAAGAGCACCTGCAAAAAAGACAAACTAAACGAATAGGCAAAAATCTGATAAGAAATACAAACAAAAAAAAGACGGGCAATCAAAAAGATGCCGACAAAAAAACGATCGTCGAAAAACCAACGAAAAAAGCTCAGTGTCCGGACACGGCAATACAGCGGGCAGAAGGGCCACAGCGCAGGGCCACAGCGAAACCCTCCCTCGAATGAATCATAACCGGGATTGGGCCCAGTCAGCCCGCGCCCACCGAAATCCGGAAACAATGGACTGGGCATGGGATTGCGAGGCGCGGCCCGCATGCAGGACGTGTGTCACCGCCCGTGCTTTCTCAGCAACGAGCCACAGCGCCGCGCCCTGCAGGACGTGCTTAGATATGACTGTGCAATTACTCATAGCTGCAAAACGTGGTTGCGATATATAAGAGGCAGGTGTCCGATACAAAACCTCATGCCCCTTTTTTTCCACACCACTTCTCCATTCCCATTCTTTTGGCACGCCATTTCAATTGCCGTTGCATCGCTGCCCTTTTGTCCCGGGTCCCGAACACTTTGAACATACTATCCTGGGCGGCTTCCCCTATTCCAGCCCGAGATCGGTCCGAGTCCAGAAAACAGCCGATCACCGAGCCCAAGCGCCCGACCTAGAAAAACACAACAAAAACACAACAAAAACACAACAAACACAAAGGCCCATCCACAAGCAAAAAGCAGCCGCACCCCGCCCACAAAATACACCACAAACACAACCATGTACACGTTCTCGGCCCCACAGAATTTCGTCGACAACACCGACCTCGACATCGAGTCGGAGTGGAACACGCAGTACGTGCTGTCGGCGTCTGAAGCCAGCTCGCCCCTTTCACATGTACACGAGCCTGCCTCGCCCTCGCCAGAGTTCCTATACGAGTGCTCCTTCTGCATGACGGCCCACCTGCCCGCGGCGCCTTGCGAGGAAGAGCACGCCTACACGTTGCAGCTCCCCCTGAACGCCTCGTACTCGTACCAGAGGCCGATTTTCGTGCCCGAGCAGCCGCTGCTGAGCACGTTCTTGGAGTCCAACTACCGCAAGTGGCTCGTCTCTGTCACGCCGCGCTGATGGCCCCGTGGCCATTCATCGGCTCCGCGGTGGAGACGGGTTTCTCCGCATCGGTTATTTCAGTTCTCGGTTCTTGGCCGGCAGGGTCTTGAGGAAGGGGTCACTTCGGCTTAGTTTTGATTCGGGGGTAGCGCCGGCGTGCGCTACGCAATTGTTCTTCTTTCTAGTCCACTTTATAAACATTATCAGTATCACGTATCAACGAGGCGTGGGCTCCTGCCGCAGTTGTCCATGTAGAACTGGGGATCCGTGGCACATGCATTCGATGGCCTGGGCAAATTCTTGCTGCCCATGCTTAACCACACGACAGCCAATCTCCGGCTCTGTCAAAAGTTGCCCGTGGCTAGGAACGTAAGATGACGGTCTCTTCCAACCATAGCGCTTCTTGCGAAAGTGCCAGGATAAGCGATACGTGTAGTCCCGACTAGCGAGTTCTTTTGATGGCCGTGAGCTGTGGCCCATTCCAGCCAAGAAACAGCCATGTCACTTCAGACCAAATCTGCTGTATTGGAAGCAAACACGTCGCCAGAATTTCTAAGCTATTAGAACATGACTCACCAATTCTGGGTACTACTGCCCTAATGGCGACGAGGGCCTCACGATCAACATAGTATTTGCCAAACCCACCAAAACACCCGAATCCCGTGAAAGGAGAAACGGCGAAATCAATGAAAGAAAAGAGTAAGACACCTTTGTGGAGAATGAAAATCGAAAGTCCTTGATTGGCATACAAAGGCCCGGTTTCTTGCCACGCAGTATGGACGCATACCGAGGGTGGCCCAGGGCCAACACCGGTTGACCGATGCCGCCAACACTCAACATCAATCAATCCGGCTTGATGCCATCTCTGCGCCTCAAAAGCATCTACATACGCGCTCTGTTTCGTTACGTGGATTCACTATATAGTTTTATCAAAAGACCCGGGAACTTAATCTTTCTTCTCCAAGTCAATGAACTTGCCACCCTTGGCGAACCTTGGGTGTCTTGGGTCGTTGATGAACTCATCGGAGTTCATCAGGGCCTCGGCAGCCTTGACAATCAAGCCAAAAGAAATGGCAGCTAGAACGTTAGTATGGAGAGCAGAGAATATGAATCCCGCATGGGCGGAATCAGACGCGCCCTTCTCGCAGAAATGGGGAATGGTCCGTGATGTCAGCGGCAAGAAAATTGCTCTTTTAATCTAAAAGGCTATATTCATTTGGCAGACAGCAACTTGGAAAGTAGTGGCTAGACTGTGGCGCGGGCCATCTGGTTTGGGAATATCTTGTTGCTCCACCTAGCGCCATGTTTGTGATTTGCAGTCATTCTTCCGGCTGTTCCGAGTCACACTGCTTCAAAAAAATCGACAGCATGATCATCTGGAAATGCATTCAAGCGATGTCCATGGCTGCCACATCATTCCAGTAGACACAAGGAATCGCAACCAAATTCCGTTTCCTCTAGCCCTGAAAACAAATCAGAACAAATTCCCAAATATCTGTGGGCATGTTTCCTTGTGATCCGGAAAGCGTGTCCCTGATATTCCGTCCGGATACTGTCTACTAGTAAGCCCATGGAAAAAAGACATGTCCCCACAAACTGGAATTGCGGCGTGGGCCCACACAAAAAAGTCTTCAGTACATACCACCAACGGCGAAAGGCCAGTAGTTTTTCAAGATAGGGGTGGGGTAGCTTCTCATGGTGAATATAGCGTTTGGAAAGAAACACTTTTCTGTTTCCAGTTTTCGCTCACTGGCTTCGGACTCGCACCGGCAGGCTGGCCAATGACAGACCGAGAGCATGGGCGTGTGTGTGCAGGACGCCGACTGGCTAGTGCGCACCGGGGTACTGGCCCCAGCCCAGTGTTTTAGTATCAGATTTCTCAATTCAAGTATGTACGGTACTTAGGATCCTTAGAATACTACTTTTCTCTAAAAACCCTCAAGGAATAAAAAGAAGGAAAAGACTCTCTCTGTACGGAAGCTTTTTTCCCTTGCCACGTGAAGGGTGACTACATGGCGGATACCACGTGACACAGGGCCCCCGGTTCTGGTGGGCCGCTCTATATTACTAGACGCACTAATTTATTAGCAAAATGACGTGGACTGGAAAGGAGATTCAATGTGCTGTTTTTGACTTAGGAGTGGTATCTCCACGGCGAATCTACGTGGCCTAGGTGTGCGCTAGCCATTTGAAGTAAAATTTATTTCAGGCTTCTTTGTGCCGAAGTTGATTGCTGGCATGTACAAGCTTCTGGAAGTTTGCAAGACTCATGCAAAGGCGGCGCCGGTTAGAGTTGAGCTTTTTACTAATAGCCGTGCTAACAAAGAGCTTAGGCCAACTTGACGAAAAGCTCATATTCAAAAATGTTATGTGGAGGTGATCGCTTGAGGTACTTCCCTGATGTAGCGTCAGTAGAACCTCTGAACCAAAGAATGTCTCCATGCGGCGGTACGACTAGATTGTCGGAGAGGAAAAAGTATCATATCAACAGTGGTGGAGTCTTTATGACTGCGAAAATTTTCATTGTTTGACCACTCGGAAAGAAGTGGCACAGTTTCACCTATTGTTGGGCCGTCGCTATTCCTAAGTCTGTGGCCCTAGCTCGTGCTTCCGCTTCGATATCCCTGGTGTCACGAAGGGCGAGATCTCGGCATATTTTGCTGTATGCGTATATTAGGTAGAAAATTATTGAAAGAGTAAGCTTAATTTGCATCAACAGAAAGTGCAGTAAAGGATCAATATCTTGAGAAGAGTCACAAGGGTATCTATCGTGAGTTTGAATTATTTAGTCCAGGCGATATCCAAAGAGATTCAAAAAGAGATCGCTATGGGTGCTTGTCAAATTGGATGAACGAAGACAAAAGGCCGACGAATGTGATATACTTCTCTTGATTTTGTTGATGAAAATTCCTGACTGCCTTAAGCCTGAATCACTGCTTCAACCAATATACGTCAACCACAGGTGTTCATACTATTAGCATTAAATAATATGGTTTGTGGAATGGCCAACGGACTGAAATGGTCAGAAATGGCTTCAAGAAAATAAGTGTATCGGGCCACCAACTAGGCATAGCACCGATGTCTGGAGTGCCTTTGATCACACATCTGACGGATCATATTTTCATGACACCAAGACCCAGAACACCACAAATGGAGTTTGTTTAAGTGCTTTCATGTTTCATTGGATGACACTTTGTGGCAACCTAACAGGCACTTTCAATTCCAAGCTCTGTACTCACCCCAATGTACTGAGACGGTACCAGGTAGCAAAATAGTGCAGCAAATAAACCATGACGCTGGCGATTGAAGGCAGTTCATGGCAGCAGAGTTCCAAGCGTTTCTAGAAAAATCAAAACACTGGCTAAGCTATGACGGGAGTATCATACGTATTGTATGTGAATACGTATTGTCAATAGAAGGCTTCTAATGCGCTTAGCATGATCATCCAATTGATGGATGTATCTGTAATATTAGGCACTGTGGACAGACTCTCCCAACCCAAACAGAGTATGAAAGCATCACGGCGACAGATGACGGAAACCTCAGAGCTCCAATATCTCCAAGTGGAGCGAAAACGTGTCTTCAGTTGCTGCAATACATTCAGTGTTCATGACGAAACATAGTTCTCTAGAAGTCCGAGAGATAGACGCACGCCCACGTTTGGTCTCTGGCCATGGCTCTGGATATGGCTACACAAGTCCTTGCCTGTTTATCCATAGACATACAAAACCGTCTTTGGTCATGGTTTTGTATTTGCTTACCTGGTCATATCTAAAAGCTTGCTTTCCGGATACACCAGGCTTTTCCCCAGAACATCCATGTGTTGCTTGGAAACATTCATGGATATTCTCCTCGAGCACAGCCAAAGACTTGCATCTCCGGTCTTGCTTCCACACAGCCATAAAAATGCTTCCCCAATACATCCATAGACTCTCTTCCCAGGTACATCTGCTATTCAGGCATATCTTTTCAGACTTCTTCGTTGAGGCAAATGTTCACAGAAGTACCTTCCCCGACAAAATTTCTCAGACACATCTTCCCAAAAATATTCTCCCAGACACATCTTCCCAGACATATCTCCCCAAGCACATCCTCCCAAACACATCCTCCCAAACACATCCTCCTAGACACATCTTCCCCCCACGCAATTCAGGGCATTTACACTCCACTCGCCCGGCCTCCCCTGATCTCGTAGACGCGGATCTCCGGTGTACCTCGGCGGAACCAGCAGGTCAATTCACTGCCGTGAGGATCTGCCACCGCGTCGCAAATTGTCCACGAGAACCTCCGGTCGAGCTCCGCTTCCCACACTTCGATGGTGGCAGTGTTTCGGATGGTGGCCGCCACATATGCCACCGAGGCACCCGCCTGAAAAAACTGGGCCATGGTGTCGCACAAAGACGGCACCACCAGCGAATCGTATGTCACGTCGGCAGCCACCACGATGTCCGCCGGAGCACGCCCCGGACCACCACTGGCTTCGCTATACAGGAGCTCCTCGCCCCAGATGAGCTGGCTGACATTGACAGGCACGCGCGGCGGGAGGCCGTTCAATGCAAACGTGGCCGGAAGGTTCTCCAAGAGCGCACTGTCGCCGTCAGTCAACGCAATACTTGCAAACTGGTGCTGGCTGTGTTTTTTCAAGAGAGCAAGCAGCACGAGGCCCGTGCCCGTGCCCAACTCCAAAATGCGCTTGCCTCGGGAGATGAGGCTGAAGGAAGCGGAGTTGTTCAAATAGTTCAGCATATATAAGGCCGCTTCCCACGTGCGCAACCCCGTGGTTCCGGCCCCCGAAATGACCCTCGGGGTTTCCCGTATAGCTACGGTCTCGCCGCCTGCATCCACAGAATATTGCAACGTATCGGCTGCGGTTGGTGGCAACTCGCGGGCACTCAAAATACGCGGCTCGCAGTAGAGCTCGTATAGCGCATCGATGACTGCGGATCTCTGCTCAAGCACACGCACGTAGAGCGCCAAAAAAAGCTTGACGTAGAAGCAGTTGGACTGTGCTATGACGGCGAGGTCACGTGCCACGTTCTCCTGGCTCTGCTCGTCCAAAATGGCGGAGATGTCGTGGGCCATGAAGTCCGATGGAGGAATGCGCAGATACAAGCATGCGCGGAGCTGCTGGTAGTCTATCGTTTTCATTGGGTTTGTATGGAGTTTCAGAAACGAGCGTTGGCGACAGCTAAGTGGGAGGGTTGGCAGAAAAAGGGGTATAACCTAATTTCCATGTGGAAAGACCGGGGTTCTCGGGCCATGGTGCTGGAGTAGATGGAGTATACATAAGCCGCGATGCGTCTCCAAGTCGGTCTGGGACCAAAACATGGGGGACAGGAAAAAGAGAAGAGATTGGAGGAAAGGGAAAATTAAGGATGACGGAGGTCTGAGAAAAAACGGAGAGATCTGGAGAGTTCTGAGAATTGGGAAAATCGAAGAAAACAGGAGAATCGAGAAGCGAGGGAAGTAATAAAGAATCGAGAAGCGAGGGAAGTAATAAAGAATCGAGAAGCAAGGGAAGAAAGAAAGAATCGAGAAGCGAGGGAAGTAATAAAGAATCGAGAAGCAAGGGAAGAAAGAAAGAATCGAGAAGCGAGAGAAGTAATAAAGAACTCAAGCGAGGGAAGTAGTAGAGAAGAATCGGGAAATGGGATGTGAAGAAACCAAAAGAGATCTGGAAACGGCGTAGATAGAGAAAGTAGGCAAAATTGGGTGACAACGCGGAAGCCGAGGGAAGAAAACCTTTAGGATATAATAACTGGAAGATCCCAGCACACAATCGACCAGGCCGGACTAGCATGGGTGTTCTCTTTCGGCATTGAACTGGCCGCAACGAAGCAGCCGATTCTACAAGTGACATGCCTCATGTCTGTATAAATTAGAGAAATAGCCTATCTGAAGGTGTGGTTCAATTTGATGGTTTGAGAAGACAAAGTCAAACCCGAAGCGCAGCTATATCGTCCGGACTCACCACGTAAACGAGCATTACTGTATTGAAGCAAACATTGCCTTTCATCCCTTTGTGACTAGCCAGATGAGGGTAGAGAGAAAGCACAGAGTAATATAAGAGACACAAGGAAACTACGTTGTTTGAAATATCAACCTACAATCATCAATACGTCTTATATGAGACCACGATGACACCCTTATGTGATTGTGTGCTTTGATCAATAGGGACGAGTAGTCATACCACTGACACTATAGGTCTGTAAGCACACAAAAATTCAAATTCGCATTGAGCTATCGGATGTCATTTAATCCACGACTCCAAAATATTGCATTCATAGCATTGCACACACAAGGAACATCAGCCGCAGAAGGAATATCCAATGGTTTGTTTGATAAACTCTTGTTGTTAAGCGAAGGTCACTTGATATAGTCGGGAAACATTATCAATTGTAATGAGTATTTTGGAAAACATGAATACTCATGTTCTCTTGGATAAAACATCGCAGACTTTTTGATTGATATCACTGTCAAAGTCTTTTGTGTGGAATGAGGCTAGTATTAAAAGAGTTCATGACTGCTTTCTTTCTAATACGACTGGCAGTACTGACATTACGAGTAAATGAAAGCATTTTGCTGTTCATAAGGATGAATGTGACTATCAAAGAAGCGGTGACTCTTCTGAAAATGAGGACGAGGCAATCACGAAATTGCCCCAAAAATACGAAGAGTCTCCAATCTCCGTTGAACTTGAAACAGAAATCCAAGAACTTGCTGTCGGCGCTAAGGATCCACACTTAGATCAAGCCATGCTACAGAAAGCAAGTTTTTTCACTCAACTATCAATATTGTCGTCTCGGACATTCAAGAACTCAGCCCACGACTCCTCTTGACAAATCTCGCATTGTCGCTTGGTGCTGGGCTTTTTATATCATGATGAGCAAAGACATCAGTGGATTCCAAAACAGACTTGGTGCATAGTTTTTTGTTCTGGCGCTCTTTGGATTCTCCTCCTTTACAGGTTTAGATTCATTTGCACAAGTAAGAATCATCTTTATTCGTAAAAGAGCCACAATTATTACCATCCTGCTTCATTTACGTCAGCAAAGTCATTTGTGATTTGCTTCCTCCTAGAGTACTTCCGCCTGTTGTTTTTTTTGAGCATCATGTATTCCATGGTTGGATTGACCATGGAACATATTGGATCTTTGAAAGCTTTGCGATCTTGGAGCTTTTTAATCTCACAGTTGCAATAGAAGTCTTGATCGTGGGAATTGTGATAGAATATCCAGAACTTCAACAATCATCGGTGTGCTAATTTTTTTATTTTCGTTATTGCTAGCAGGCTTGTTCATCAACAGCGAGGGTCTAAAGACACAATGGCTTGAATGGATTTGTATTATGCATATGAGGCGTTGGATATAAACGAAGTGAAGGACTTGATTTTGAAGGAGAAGAAGTACCTGCTCTTCAACGTGTGCCCAAGTGACGATTTTGAGCACTTTCAGCATGAACTTTTCCTTTGAAATGATATCTTTTTACGGCCGGTTGGGGATCGTTAGGGTATGTATTCGTGCACTCATTTACTTACGAGAGAAGGTAATTTGATGCGTTATAATCTAGAATTTCTTCACACGTTAGTTGTTTCCCGAAGCACGAAGTATGATCAAAGAAAGAAATCTATAGAGCAGGTAAAACACTACGAGTAATTGTACAACTGTAATCTACTCACTTGAAAACACCCGATAAACCGATTTCATCATCGTGAGATACTTCACAGCGTTCTCATCAGGGATAAAGTATACTCATGAAGTCGACCATCGAGCGATTGCCAGCTAGTATGGATCAATTACATATGCCCGACTGGCAGGCACAACTATCAAGTATAAACTCTGGAAGCCAAGTGCTTCATGGACATAGAGAAATGACACTGCAAGCAGTACTGCCCACGTCCATGATGGATGTTTTACCGAGCCACCAGCAGAAATAGCCAATGTGCATTAAGTGGGCCTAATTCTCAGTTGACTCCGTTATCAAATGTAATGGTGAGCATAATGAGTAACCGCACAAACTCTGATTTTTATCATCAATTTCACCATTCGAGGAAGGATCAGGGTCTGAAATTTGGATTCTGAGTCTCTTCATTGTGGTTTTTTTTGCGTTCCTTCTCTAAGTTTTCAATTGGATTTTTGTTTTGGAAGTACTTTTTTTGGTTTCACAAATAGTTTTAAAAAAAAGAAAAATTATTCTGGAATTGTTTTGGCAAAAGCCTTTATTTAAACCGGCTTAAGGGGTGGGTCTTGCGTCGATTCCTGGTTCCAAGTCCGCCCGGAAACAGAACCAGACCCTTTTTAGCTTGACCAACCTTCTGATTGAGTGAAGAGCAAAGCCTGACTGATAAAAGTCAGCTTGACTGAAGAGCAAAGCTTGACTGATAAAAGTCAGCTTGACTAATAGCATTGACCTTGACTGACAGAATTCAGCTTGATTGATAACATTCAGCTTGACTAATAGCATTGACCTTGACTGACAGAATTCAGCTTGATTGATAACATTCAGCTTGACTAATAGCATTGACCTTGATGATAACATTGAGCTTGACTGATAACTTTCAGCTTGACAAAACCCCCCGCTTTGGCCCCGCTTTGGCCCCCCTCGCCGCCCGTCGACCAAACGGCCGGCCTCCGCCCAGCTACTCCTCCGCCACGCAGCCGTGCACCCGCACGCGCTTGACGCCGCCGTCCGGGATGATGGTCAAGAGCACGTGCGTGAACGGCGCCGGCTCGCGCACGTCGTACCGGTGCTCCGCATCCGGCCCCGTCTTGGAGTCTCCCACCAACACACACCACGCGTCCGAGTCGTGGGCCGGCGCCTCCGGGCCCCGGAAGCCCTTGACGTTGATCTTCTGCGGGAAGTTGCCGCGGAAATGCGCGGTGTCCACCACGATGTCCCGGATCACCGTGGGCGCGCCCAAGCGGATCACCACCCAGTCCACGTGGCCCGCGGCCCGCGACCGCTTGGTCTCCCAGCCGTCCGACATGTCGTGGCCGCGCCCGGGCAAGAGGAGGTTGTCCGCGCTGCCGAAGTGCTGGTCGCTCACGCGCACCGCCACGCCGCCGTTCTTGACCAGCGCAAAGTCCACCACCGTGCGCGGGTCCGCGGGCATCACCGCGTGCACCTCGCCGTACAAGCGGAAGCGCGCGATGCCGCCGTCCGGGTACATGCGCAAGCGGAAGTGCGTGTAGCTGCGGGCCGTGGCGCCCTGGGGCCGCACGAAGAAGTGTCTCTGCGAGGGCCCGCACTCGGTCTTGGCCATCACCGGCTCCCAGGCCACCGCGGCCGAGGCCCAGTCCGCGGGCGCCGCGGCCGTGCTGAAATCGGCGCCCTCCACGGAGATGTGCGGCGCGTGGTTGCCGTTGAAGAACGCAGTGTCGACCTCACAGCCGACGATGCTAGCGCGCGCCACGCCCGCCTTGACCACGACCCAGTCTGCGGGCTCGGAATTGTGGCGGCGCGTTTCCCAGCCGTCGTACCAGGCGCCGGCGTGCGTGAACCGCGTGGCGTCACGGACGGGCGCCTTGGGCTTGATCAAGTTGGCGGCCGCGGCAAACCACTCGTCGGAACACGCCTCCACGGACCCGCCGAGCTTCTCGCCAATGACGTCGGTGTACTTGAGCACGACCTGCGTGTTGAACTCCTCTTCCGAGAGAATGGTGGTCATGCTGGCAAGGAAGGTGTCGGGCCGATCTGCTGCTGAGTCAGGGAAGACGAGCCAGGTGTCTGCAGGGCTAGGGGTGTCTCGAGACTTTTGATTGTCTTGAGATCTTGTTTGTTTTGAGACCTTTTGGTTGTCTCAAGACTTATGTTTGTCTCAAGACTTTTGATTGTCTTGAGATCTTGTTTGTTTTGAGACCTTTTGGTTGTCTCAAGACTTATGTTTGTCTCAAGACTTTTGTTTGTCTTAGGACTTTTGTTTGTCTGAAGACTTTTGATTGTCTGAAGACTTTTGATTGTCTGAAGACTTTTGATTGTCTGAAGACTTTTGATTGTCTGAAGACTTTTGATTGTCTTGGGACTTTTGATTGTCTTGAAACTTTTGATTGTCTCAGGACCTTTTGTTTGTCTTAAGCCTTTTGTTTGTCCTAAGAAGCCTTGTGTTATATTAAGAGGCCTTATGGTTTTTTTTCAAGATCTTGTATATGTCTTAAGGAACCTTGTGTTGTCTTAAGATCTTGTATTTGTCTTAAGAAACCTTGTGTTTTTCTTAAGATCTTGTGTTTTTTCTTAAGATCTCCTGTTTATCTCTAACCTTGTGTTGTCTCTGAAACCTGAATCTGTCCTAAGAAACCTTCTTTGTCTCTAAAGCTTTTGTGGTCTCTAAAATTTCTGATCCGTCAGTTTTATGGTCACCTTCAATCGCTATCGAAGAAATGCCTGATCAAAAAGCAGAAGTATCTGGGAATCCAATAGAATGGCTAGTGGCTCAGCACGGCTATTTGATTTATTCAATAGAATAGCAAGAAGCGCCTGGGACATGCCTTCGCCCATCTGGCTGTCTTTTATACCCGCGGACTCGGCATCCGCCGACGCGCCAAAGGCTTGGCCCTATGGCGGGGACTCGCATAATCGATAGGGCCGCACCCAGGCCCTATGCACGATCTTCGGCCCGGCCCGCCGAGCCCCAGGCCCTGGCGCGCTGATAAGAACAGGGCTGCGGCGCCAATTCTTGGGTGCGAATCGCGGGCCTATAGACGGTGTACGGTGAAAGCTGCCAAGCTTGGCTTTCTCGGTGCTATTAAAGACTTGAGGGCGTTTAAAAATTCTTCAGAGATTCACAAAATATCGGGGCCCTTAGGAATATTTGGGTTGAATTATTAGGGTTGAATCATTAGGGTTGAATCATTAGGGTTGAATCATTAGGGTTGAAATATTTAGGTTGAATCATTAGGGTTGAATTATTTGGGTTGAATTATTTGGGTTGAATTATTTGGGTTGAATTATTTGGGTTGAATTATTTGGGTTGAATTATTAGGGTTGAATTATTAGGGTTGAATTATTTGGGTTGAAATATCTAGGTTGAAATATTTGGGTTGAATTATTTAAGTTGAATTATTTGGGTTGAAACATTGGGGGTGTTGAGATACCTAGGACCTTTATAAAGACTGGGTACTTGAGAAGTACTTGAGGAATCTAGAACTACTCGGGGTGTGAAAAATATTCGGGTATGGGGCCTTCAGCAATCACTTTCAAGACTAGGTCCTCGCAATGCCACCCATACTAGGTTGTTGGGATTGAAGCTCTATACAACTTACACGTTTTATTTGCAGATGCTATTTTCCCGCAAGTCCTATCAATTGCAACAAATCGTCATATTGGACCGCTAAGTGAATTTGATCGATGAAATTTTTTTCCACACACAAATACGGTATCGATGTTAGCACCGTAGGCCATAAGGGCAATCTTTCGAAGTCTAGAGCGGCGCTATGAGCTACGAAGAAAATGTACTTCAAAAATTTGATGGACTCACAGGAGGAATAAAGTACGAAATCACAGCATCGGGAATCCGCCAGCTCTGTGGACGCCCACCAGAACGGTTGTTTATTAATTTCAAATGCACACTCAAATCTATGGCCTAGAGTTGATATAGTTTCTCGGGCATCGACAACTTCATAAGCAGAGAGTATTGACACCAAGAGCAGCCAACAAAATAGAAGAGATAAAAGCACACCGCAAATGATTTCTAGATATACGGTATATGTGTCCCCAGCCCCATTGCCTCAAACAACTCAACGGACTTCTTTTTTCCTCAATTCAGAAAACATCCAAGAAGCTCATGAAAACCATCAAAGATCTCATTGGTCCTCAATAATTCTTGAAATCAAAGCAATCAAAACACCCTCGTTTACATTAATTCATCCTGTATGTCCCGGTATACAATTCGAAGCCATGACATCGAGTCTTTGTAACCTAAAAACCTCGACACTATCCGTGGCATCCATAATAGCAACCAAACAGTACATGCATAATCACCCAAGACCTCGCTATTACATGCCCAACACTGCATACCATTAGCATCTCAATTGTCGGCAAGATCAGAACCTCAAATGTTCTTTCAGCCACACCGTCCACTTCATTGCTGTCAACCCCATCTTTCTCATCAAGTTACATATTGTAACAGAGCTCAAAATCAAGCTGCTTGTGGGGCATTCCGGCTAGACGATCCCTGCCTGTGATTCTCCCAACAGTCAATATCCATCATTACAACTCGTTCTTGCAGTTGCAACACACTCGCAGTCCAGATGAAACCAGCATCCAGATACACTGTTGCCAATACAGGTGACGCAGTCTATAGACATTCCTTACAGGGCCAAACATGTAGAGGCTGCACCAACATACCCAAGTACCTAGCCACAGGGCACCCAACTCTAGGCAAAACCAGGCAATATAGAAACCGTACACCTGGAAAGAAGGGATCGTACGGATCTGCCCCTAGCGCCCCTAGCATAAGATTGCATGAAACAAAAAGAAGCGGCAGCGCCCAGAGCTCATTCTTTCATGCTGAAGAAGTCAAAAACAGTCCCTGAGACCGAGGGCGACGTGGAAGGCGTCCATTTCTTTGTCGTGGATGAACCTCAAAAGCACACTATAACCAGGGCTTTCTTGGAAAGTCTCTGGCGGCATTCAACGAGGTGGAGGAGGCAGTGGCACTCGAATTGTTTCCATGAGAGTTGGCATAGTAGTTTTGCATGTCTTGTTAATATGAGTAACGGACATATCAAATGACCGCGACCCGGCAACGAGCCAACAGTATTTCCTAGGCACACCACTGGAACATATTCCTGACGTCGAGTGGTCAGGTAGAAGTTTCCATTGTCTTTCAACAATCGCTTTCTCGCACCATCGAGGTACGACTGACTGTATTCGCCCACAATAGCCTCATCCACCTCCCCCTGATAAACAGAACAGCCGAGGCTTGGTGTCATAGAGTTAATGCCATACTTGCATCCGCATCAAAGATATAGTGTTCCACAGCTTCATCTGAAGAGTCGGCTGCCATAAAGCCTCTGGCAGAATAGTTACATCATTAGGTTTCATAAAAACGAAAGCAGGAGCGCCGGGAACTTATTCTGTCATGATGGAACTGGGCCCCACGTTCATTCTCGCGGTCTCGGCCGTCTCTCGGCTCTGTCGGTCTCTCTATCAGCTGTCTCTCTGTCAGCTGTCTCTCTGTCAGCTGTCTCTATCCATCAGCTGTCCCTATGTCAGCTATCTCTATGTCAGCTGCTTCTCTTCCGAAAACCATCATTTTGCAGGCTGCTGCCGGCATGTATGGCAACAAGGGCTTGCAGTGCCGAAAAGCGCCCCTGCGACTGATCCCCGAGTCCAGGCCAGGAAACCAATGAAGAGGGTCGTTCCAAGAAGTAGTGAGCATGCGGGCCGGAGCCAGCGAGCCGCAGAAATGCACACATCCAGGCCCGGCGATCAGAGGGCCAAAGTCAAAACCAAGCACCGTTGACGCCGAGAACCGCCTCGCGCCCCACCAACCAGCCTCCGTCTATAAGAACCGTTCTTGAACAAGTAGTCATTAGGCCGGATATGGAGTGTTCCTGTACCGGGTGCCGCCTGCTCCTGCACCCAGCTGTGGTCTGGTCCTGCACCCGGCGCGAGCCTCGACCGACAGACCCAACATGGCATGGCGGCGGCTCGGCGCGCGGCCAAAAAAGCTGATGGCCTTCCTAGTTGGTCGGTATTCCAAACAAACCCACCAGACAAACGCTCACAACGGTGTTCCGATCCAGGTGGGCTCCAGCGCGGGCCCCGCTGCGGCACTGGCGCTGGGCCCGTAGGCTGTACCCTCTTTCTTATTGGTTTTCTCTGGCCTGCCTCTTTCCTGCTTGTATCTTCTCGCCTGTTTCCGGACAGCACCACTTTTGCCTCGGCCCCCGAAATCCTGGAGATCCACCTTTCGGACCATAGCCGCCAACACCGCCCGACGGCTCTGCCTTTAGCCGACTCTGCCATTAAGAAAAGTCGAGCTGGCCGCTGCCATCCGGACTACGCTTAGTCAGGCATTTTCATACTGGGGACTCCTGTTTGGTTTATCTGGGAACATCCGTTGACCTGTTTTTTCGTTTGTTGACCTGTCTCTTCTTTTGCTGACCTGTCTTCGTTTGTTGACCTGTCTCTTCTTTTGCTGACCTGTCTGCGTTTGTTGACCTGTCTCTTCGTTTGTTGACCTGTCCCTTGATCCATTCACCTGACTCTTGATCCATTCTCCTGGAACTTTGATCCATTCTCCTGGAACTTTGATCCATTCTCCTGCATTCTCCACTGTCGACCTGGAACCTCGATCCATTCCTGACGTCCTCGTCCCCGGCGCAACTCGGAATCCAGTTCCTTCCTCGTCTGGGCCCCCTCCACGTGCCCTGTCCACTCGTTCCAAAAAGCTTGCAGGCCCCTCGCGCCCCGCAAACAAATCACCCCGGCACCCTCGCTTGTTATCCTCGGCAGTCGCAGTGAACTTTTCGTCCACGCGCCGCTGATTCCCGCGCCCATCCAGAAAGCCAGGTCCCGCACCCTGAATTCACTGGCACGCACACCGCCACATATAAACGCTGCTCGCCAAAAAGCAGCCCGAGACATTTGTCACCGCACCGAGAGCGCCAAACAACAAGGACCAAAGGTGAAATAGGCAGACACTGTAAAAAGGACGACACTGCAAAAACAGCACAACTAAACGGGTTGCAAAAACACTCCAAACAGACTGACCTGTGCATACACGGCACCGGCGAATTCACAGCACCTCCCCGGTCTCACAAGCGGCAGCCAGCGTGCCGCCCAGAACCCCCCTACGTCCTACAAAAGTTGGCACGCCAACCTTGCTCTATTTGCAGCCAACGTGCCCGGGCGCCAAACCCACTTTTTTTTAGTGCGTGGATTTGCAGCGCGGCGTTCCGGTCGGAGCCACAGAAAAAAACACATTCTCCCCCATGACAGACACAATAAGCGGCGAGCGCTCGCTAGATTTTGGCGCGCAGCTGCCCGGGCTCCAGTTCCCCCCGCGGGACCCGGCCGCGGGCACCGCGCGACTCGCGAGACTGCCGTTGCGCCGCTCGCCGGCCCAAAACACCTGGGCCGGCCAGCACGACGCCCCCAAAACCGGAGCCACCCACGGAGCCACCCTCGGAGCCAGTCCCCCGCGCCGCGCCATGTCCTTCTACGCCCAGCTGCCCAACGGGGCCTCTCCGGCCCGGGCGACGCCGCGAGCACCGAAAACCCCGTTGGTGTCGGCCGAGCCGCTAGCCCCAAACACGCCGCAGGGCGCCGCCACGCCACAGGCCCCCCGAACGCCCCGGCCCAGCCGCTTTTTCGGCTCGCCCGGCCCCAGCCCGCTGAAGACCGGCACGCCTGAGCACGCCCTCCAGAAACAGTGCGCTGACTTGTACGCGCAGCTCTCGGCCAAAACGGCCCAGTGCCAGCATGCCGAGGACGAGCTTGCCCGCCACCACTTGCTAGTGGACGAGCTCGCGCAAAAGGCACAGGCCCTGGACCGCCGCGTGCGGGCCTTGGAGGACGAGCGCCGCAAGGCCACCGACCTCCACAAGCAGGAGTTGGCCCTCTACCAAGACATGGTGGACGATCTCCAGCGCCAGGCCGCACGTGCCACGCAGCGCCTCGACCAGGACCGCCGGGTGCACGAGGCCTGGGTGCGCGAGCACGAGGACAAGCACGCCGTCTTGGCCAAGCGCTGCCGCGCCTTGCAGAGCAACTTCGAGCTCGAGCGCAACCTGAAGGCCGTGTTGATCGAGCAGATCGAGTTTTTGACCAAGGAGCGCGACATCTACTTCCAGACAATGCTGGCCACCTCGCACGGTGACTCCGCGCGGGGACCCTCTGGTCTGCGTCTTCTGGTGCCCGACGATGACTCCGATGACTCCGGCTCGCTTGCCTACCAGAACTCCGATGTCTCCGACTTGCTTGCCCACCAGAACTCCGATGTGCAAGCCCCCTTGGGCCCGGACCCGCCACGGCCCGTGGACACCACCCCGCAGCCGCCTCTCTCGCTTGGCCACGCTTCGTTGGCCCCAGCCCTAGAAACAACCCACACGCACTCGGGCTTGCATCTCGACTCCGACTCCGACGGAAGCGTGCACGGCACCCACCTCCTTGGCTCGCTCGCCGAATTGGCCCGCCCCGAGGTCTTCGACTCCTCCTCGCCCATCAAGGACCACGCACACGACTACCTCGAATCCTCGCTGGGCTTTCACTTCCCCGCGTCGAATCCCGCCCAGGCCGCGCCCCTGCTCCCGCAGACGGCGTCCGCCTCCAGGCGCTACTCGCTGCCGGCCTCCGAGCGCAAGGCGCTGCATCCCATGCCCAACGCGTCGTTCGACGACGACTTTGTGCTCTCACCCCTCAAGTTGACGCCTCACCCGAACTCCTCGTACTTCGAGGCAGACTCGTCTGGCCCAGCCTCGCACACACGGCCCTCGTCCGTCACCAACAAGCGGTACTCGGGTTCCAGAGCAAACCACTCCCGCTACAACTCCCACGACATCGTGCCAATCAAAGTGGAGTTTGAGATGCTCGACCAGCTGATCCGTTCGGCATCTGCCCCGGACAAACATCACTTGCAGCATCTTTCGAGCGTAGCGGAGACCAACCCGATCCAGGACTCGGACATGGCGTTCATGCGGCTCAACGGCTATACGGGGCCACTGAAGCGTGACTCGCTCATGACTGACTCGTCAAAGAGATCGAGCTTCATGTCCGATATCAACATTCTGAGTGGAGATATCACCAAGCAAGAAATCACGAAACTCAAGTTCGAACTCCAGTCTTTGAAGTTGCACAACGAAAAGCTATTGTCGTACATCGGATTCGAGCTACAAAAACAGAAAAAGAACATCAAAAAGTTGTCCAGCAAGCAGAACCTCCGGCCGAAGCCCTCGGCTCAGAAGATCGAGTATTCGGACGCCAAGCTCATTGAGAAGCTGAGGGAAATGCTTATCAATAAGAAGAGAGTCTTACGTTCTGTCTCCATCAATCCCATCTTGTCGACAAAGTACTGTGCGCCAAAAAACTCGTTGCTTCAGCCGCTCGTCGGTCTTGGGGTCTTTTGCAACCAGCCCGAAGATGAGGACGACTTTTTTTTCAAGAGCCACTTTATTAGTTCGCTCAAAAAGGATGATTGTGATGACTATGGCTTTCTCAAACACAACTGCAAATACAATCTGCGAGTCTTGCTGAAGAAGAATCAGGAATACTCAGAGTACAACGACGAGCAGACTGTCAAGAAGCACAAGTCCCAAACTTTCAGAAGCACGCGAAACCACGAACGGTCAGACTTTTCAAGTGACGAAGAAGGATTTGTGCTGATAGACGAGGCGCCCGAGTTTGATCAAAGCGAGTTTGACAATCTCGGGGCCGACATTGACGACATTGACGATATTGATGACGCTGATGTTTACAACAGCAATCTTGAGCTGACTGATGATTGGGAAAGTGAGGGAAGCCTCGTATCCGATATTGATTACGATAAGTTGAACCGGTTCAACCAAATGAAATATCTTATTTTGGGCAAGGAGCACATGAAAATGGCCAAGCGCTCGGAGTCCATCGCGGACGAGAACTTGAAGTACAAATTCCTCACAATCGCGATTGGTATCGTCATTGTGGGAATCAAATTCACCACGCATCCACACCAGCAATTAACGGCAAACTGAGGATGACCACTTTCATGGAATGACATTCGAAGGGTACCGGAGAGATTGCTTGGACCTATCAACATAACATAAGAGGGATATACGGTTTAATGAGCATCATGGCATTATACAGGTTTGTAGGAGTATTTATGCAATTTACGTTTCGCTAGGACCGGTGATGAAGGTGCATCACATAATCTACCAACATGGACTAAATTTAGTATTCTTCAGACTCAACCCTTCGGTTTTTGAAACAATTGCTAGTGTACGAGTTCACAATCATCTGAGAGCCGAAATTTCCATACATCTGGTTCTGGTAAAGTAATACGAAGCCATTCACTTGGGTCTAGGTATTTCTGTTTCTACAGAACACATAATATTCGATGATTTTTTTTGATCCATGCAGAACAAATATTAACAAAAGCACACCGGCTGTTATGTCGTGCAACACGCGCGCACAATAACAAATCTTATGAGCATACAACGACTTACATATGATTCCTAGAGACTTTTGCGTGAAACCTGAAACCGCAAAATATGACGTGAGCTCCAGCATGGTTCCCACGGCGAGTTCGCACAGCGTAGCATGAGCAAGAGAGTCACGTGGTGAATTGTCACGTGTAGAATGCCAGGAAGCCAGCCGCCAGAAAATCAGCCTTCACATCACCGAAAAATTGCAGGTCTCTCCAGTCGTCCATTATTTCCGGAGAGGGCATAGCTTCTGGGTCATATGAGTGGGATGTATGTCGGATTGTCCAATCCCAGGCGACAGATTGGGCTAAAAAAAGAATGTGGCAATAATCGCGCCATTTCCCGAGGCGGCTTATCCAACGTTCGTCACGGCTCGGATTTCGCACCCAATTGCCCAGTGCTGCGGCACCATGCAGCGCCTGGCCAGAGGACAAATCACCCCACTGGTTGCATGATAAAACAAAACCCTATTGTCTCCTCCCGGGATTTCTGCCAGCTGCGTGAATTTTGCCGCACCAGCCTTTTGTGTTTGCAGAAGCTTTTCGTGAGCTTCCAGCTGAAGTGTTTTTTCTTTCTTTCAAACATCCGCCTTGCTGGACAGAAACCCCAGCGGAATAAGCTTTCGTTTCCTTAGCCTTTCTTTCGCAAAGTGAAGTCATGGCTCTTCGCAGCTACATGTATGCCAAACACCTCAGTGCCACACAGGTGGCACTTATCAACAAGCAGCCCGACCCCGTTGCTTCAGACACGGCCAGCTGCCCCCCAGAACGTGCCTTGGTGTTGGAAGACGGGACCAAGGTGTGTGCCGACTGCGCGGATTGCCCCAAAAAGGCCAAGGCCGATGACGGGTCCCCCAGAATCAAGGTCCAGGTCGAGAGCGAGGTGGACTTCACCACGCAACCTGTGGATGCGGCGAGCCAGTAGTGCCCCGATCCTGCTGAGACCGTTTCAGTTCTTATCCTTCCAAAGGCATGCTAATCAACACAGCCCTGGTGGTGTGTGGCGTCGATGCGTGCAGCGCCATAATTCAATAAACTTTTGATTGGTTTCAACGCGAAGCACGGTGCCTGTTCTGCAGGCCTTTGTAGTTTTGGTCTCGGACATTTGTCGAGCGCCTGTAGACGTGGGATTGCCTGGATCACACGGCGCGTGTCTAGAAAGGAGTATATGATCCTCCAGGACAACATCTGGCCACCGGGACTATGGTATTGCGGGAAAGGCCATAGCGGCCACCCAGACCCCGGGCCGCTTCCAGCTTGAGCGCAAAGGATACGCTTTCTGCAGAGCTCAAGGTTGAGTCTAGGCCTCCTGGCTGCCACATTGACAAAGACACCATCAGCCGCCCCAGGTGACTCATGCCTGACTGTCGTGAAGTGAGTGATGAGGGCGCGCCACAGTTCCAGGGGTCTGGGGTAAACCATGTGTCTGTCTAGAACGCCTGTAGCAAGGAACGGCTTTTAGGGCTGTAGGAGGTAGGCACATGGGCTGTCGGGACATGCATCGATAGCCCCTCCTCACTCCAGCTACCGCGACCGTGCATTAGATCTCAGCTTGCATAGATCAATAGCACTTCTCCACTCCAGCTACCTCGACCGTGCATTATATCTCAGCTTGCATAGATCAATAGCACTTCTTCACTCCAGCTACCGCGACCGTGCATTAGACCTCAGCTTGTATAGATCCATAGCACTCCAAAACCGTGCATTATCTCCCCAACCTCCATGGATCAATAGCACAGACACAGGGGCCTCGACATCTGCAGAAGTCTTGTGGTGACGGTGGTCGCATCTCCTTCTTTCGCGTAGAGCACATGCTCGGCTGCCAGGTGTCCCCGGGCAAGGGCGCTGCAAGCTGGAGTAGGTGCTGCAGCCGGGGAAGCACGCAGAACGGCGTCTTTCGAGCACCAAGGTGGCGGGCACGGCCGCCGCGCCAATGGCCAATGTCGCCTGTGCCAAGGGTGTTGGCAGAGGAACGCGGCATGTCGTGGCACAAGGGCTCTGTCAGGCGCCGGCCGAGGCGCGACAGGCAGCCGCGTCCAAGTGCTGCAGCCAGAAGGGCGGCACGGGCCATTGGCCCGGCTCCTGTGGCTTGAGGAGTGTCGCCGCGGCAATGCAGGGCGGCGTTGGTGGCTTCCTTCTTATACTTGGCAACGACTCAGAGACGGCCCCCTGGGGCATGCGCAGCTCGGGTGCCAACGAAGATGGGGCCCTGTGAGGGCAGCGGGGCCGCGTCAGGAGAGCATGAGCTTGTTCTGCTCCCAGAGCCGGCGCAGCTCCGAGGCCAGGCGCAGCTCGGAGCCCTGCCACAGCCCGTCGTCGGCGTAGGCCCGCAGCCGGGCGCGCAGCCGCACGAAGAGATTGTCCATGGGCACGGGCACGCGCTCCTCGGCATGGAACCCGTGCTGCTGCTGGTTCTGGTGCTGCTGGTGCTGAGACGGCTGGTGCTGAGGCTGGTGCTGAGGCGGCTGGGACACCTGCCGGTGCCGGGACGACGGCCGGCGCCGCAGGGCGAGCGCCTGGAGAGGCGCCTCCGGCGGCGGGTCGCGGGCCGGCGCGGAGCGGAGGCGGATGAGCCGCTCGCTGGCGAACGACGCCTTGAACGCCTCGTAGAGCTGCACGGTCTGCGGGTAGTCGTACTGGTGGGCGTCGAAGAAGCGGTCCGCCACGTCCGCGAAGAGCCGCTCGACGTCGGCCGCGGCCACCGCGGGGCGCGCAACGAGCGGGAGCCGCATGGCCTGCTCCAAGTCCACGGCCAGGTCGGCCGGCGCGGGCAGGGCCGGCTCGTGAGGCCGCTCCGGGTCCGGCGGCGCGGTGCGCGCCGCGTCCGGCGACAAGTACGCCACGTGCTGCGGGAAGCTGAGCGTCTGCTGAGGCTGGAACACACCCTGCGGGTCCATGGAGGTGGGCGGCGGGGCCGGCGGCAGGGCCGGCGCTCCGTCGGGC